CTCGATAAGCAGCAGTTGGAGGAGGAACCCGAGATGGGGAATGGGGATAGAGATGGGGCCATGTGGCCGCCCTGCAAAACTTGTCCTCGAGAGTGTGAAAATAAATTCTGAAAAAGTCGTAGAAGTGAAAATGGCAACCGGTTTGCATGTCCGTGTCCTTTTCTGGCGCAGATTACCACTACGGCTACGCGGTAAACAGCTGTTGCACGTTTTTTCCTATTTCTACAATTTATTTCCACAAAAAACACAGAGAACGGCGCACTGAGCGCCCAGAGACCGATATATGTACATATCTTTAATTGCCAACTTGGCCAGTGGCCGGGAGAAAAATGAGCCCCGGTGAGTTCAGCGCGGAACTCTGGGCCAGCTGGTGTCACATGTCCGGTGTCCGATGTCCGGCGCTAGTTGCACTTAATCACTGCCCGGTCCAGCCGACCACCAAGCAGTCGGAGGGTGTCCAGGTCCAGGATAACGAATGTACACGCAAAGATATATATTAAAATTATTTTAAACTTAACTTATTTGTGTTGTCCGTCAAAATTAAATGCCCAATTCCATCTGTCTTTGTGTGTTTTGAAAAAATATGTCGTTTATGAAAGTTATTACTAGAGCAGCAAGTTAAAAACAATTTCCTGACACGTAGAAGCAAGCGTTTCTTGAATAGGATTACTAGCCTAGTTGATATATCCCTGTCCGTCCGTCTGTCCGTTTGTCTGTCCGTATGAACGCTGAGATCTTGGAAACTACAAAGATAGAATGTTGGGGTAAACTAGATCGTGAGCAATCCAAAAGCTTTCACCAACACCCGGCACAAAAACGGTCATTTGGAACCAGAATGTGCGTTGGTCTGACCGCGATGTCGATCTGCCTGAAATTAAGTTAATTTGAATTTGTGTTGATTAATTGCATTGTCAGAGGTCTGGAGCAACTGGAGGCGAGCGGAAACCGCATGCCAAGTGTTAAATGTCAGACCAACGCTTTTAATAAAATTTGCAGGCGGATTGGCGAGGTGCAATTTCAGCAGGCGGAAAGAAGAGCATCAGTGCGGAAATGAGGCAGTGCAGTCGGTTTTAAAGCCATAATTACTCGCGCTTTCGATGAATATCAAAGTGTGGCGTTTTTACCACGGGTGCTCGCTCGAGTTAGGGCTTCGCCTAATCGCCAATCGACACCAAATTGCTTTTAAGCAGCGCGCATTGAAATTCCGTTCGCATATCGACAATAATGTCGAACATTAGGTGGTTTGTTTTTTCCTCTGGCCACTCTTCGCGCTTTTGTTGTATCGAGCTTCCACTATCTGGTGCTGTGGACGTTCGATTTAATGGTCTTGGGTGTTCCAAATTCTCAAATTAAATGGAACGTAAAAAACAGCAACGCTCCAAGGAAGATCCCAAAATTTGCATAAATAGCCAAAGAGGGTACCTGATAAACAGGTGTCGGACAGGATATAAAACTAAATTGGTTCTTATTTTTATTTGTTTTGCTCTTTTCGAGTAGGTTCACTTTTAAAGGGTATGGTGGGCTACCCATAATAAATGTATTTCACTGACAAAATATATGCAAATTGAAATATTAATGTCATTTAAAAAGAAATTTTAGAAAAATTTCACTAGAGGACTTTCAAGTTTTGGCTAATAATATATCCTTATTTATTTCAAAAGGTTAAGAAAACCACTAGCGCGTTAACATGAGCACAATTAAATTAATTAAATAATCATTAATATAAGCTTTACGTTTTAGTATAAACAAATACAGATCTTTAATTTTAAGAGATTTTTAAATATAACTTTTTTCATTTTAATTTTATAAATTTAATATTATTCAGTATTAGTATTATTGCTTTAAACAACCTTTTAGGGGCATTTATACTTCACCTTAGAAGAATATGTATTTTTACGCCGTTTTTATGTTTTGCTCCAGGCAAAGTAAACTATTGCGTATAAGTAACAAAATATGGGTCATTATCATGCGAAGCACACGAAATCACTGGTTTGCGTTCTAGAAATTAGGTAGAATTTGAATAAAAATTGATAATTAGAATTGCTTTTGGATTTTCCCTGAAATGAGTCGCATAAAGAGTGCCATTACGCATGTGGGTGGCCAAAAAGAACTGTATAAATTAGTTTAATACACATTTGTCTATTTTTGTCCCTTAATGAATAAATGCTTATGAAGGAGGTAAGGAATATTTCCATTAAGCTTTTTATCTTTTCCGACTCTTTATTAACAGGCAAAACGAGACGTATAAAGCAGCCTTCTGTGCAAAAAAAATCCATTCAATTTGCGATTACTGCGCAGATGTCGTCGTCACCTTTGATGTGACGAACATCAGAATCCGTTCGCATTAATTTAAAGAAGAATCATGAAAGAACTTTATAGACGAGTTCAACGACTATGAGGTACCCATCATACACTTCCTTGTAACAATGAAGTAGGAAGAAATTTTGGTTTTCAAATAAGACAACTTACGGTCAGACGATAAAATTATTTAAACAATATTACCAAAGATTGCCATGAACATTTTAAATTTCAAAACATTTTCTATGAAAAGACATAGCCAAGCTACAGATGAGCCATCTGACTATAGCTTTTCAATACAAATAGTCCATTATAAAAAGAGGAACCCCCAAAGTTTCACAACATATCAGTCAGGAAAAACCATCAAACTTTGGTAAATCAAAGGGGTCTAACTAATACTATATTATTATATTTATCTTTAGTTCTTAAGATTAAAATTTTTCGCATGTGCTCTTCGAGGGGAATGTAATGCAATTAATCAAAAAGTATTTATATACACCCAGAAAAAAAAATGACCTAAAATGTCAAAAAATGGCCTAGAATTTAGGTAAAATTGGCCTAAAACTGGAGCTAAGTCCTTGAATGGCCTAAAATTTAGGATTGTATGACCTAAAATGTTAGGCCATTAAAGACCTAAAATGGGGTAATTTTTGGCCAAGATTTTAGGTAAATGGCTGCCTTAAAAAATGAGAAAACCCCTATCCAAAATTTTAGGCTTTCTTTGGCCTAAAAATTTGTACTGAAAAAGGTTTCATATTATAAAGTAAATACAGAGAAATTTATAGCTAACTCGAGGTCAATGTCGGCTTAGTCTTCAAGAAGTCGTCATTAATCCAACACACAAAAACGAGCGAAGAGGCTTCACTGTTCAGCAGTGAAATCGCTGTTTTATTTAACGATATAAGTGGGTTACCATGCAAGCCGCGCTATAACTGGTTGGGAATTATAGCGTCGCTAGAACGGTATCAGAGTTCCGTGCAAATTTATTTAGGTAAAATGCATTAATTTTAAGGCCCACGATGACCTAAAATATTAGGCTATACGGGACCTAAATAGTAGGGCAAATAGGGGAGAGTGGGGGAATTTCGTCACAGGGGCAATTTCGTCACCTGCAATATCTCGGAATCCATAAGTCGTAAAAATATATAATTTTTTTGTTTTAGTCCTTCAAGACGGCCAGACACAACCAATGCATTTGTTTTGCACAGAAGGCCAAGATAATTAAGCTATAATATTAAATGTGTTTTAACAGTTCAAAAGCTACATTTAGTTCTCGACGAAATTTTTTCTGTATGCCACAATTCAAAAGGAATAAGATACACGATTTTTTATATAATACACAGTGCTATAATGTGCATTTCTGCGTCAGTGATTTTTAACTTCGCGCCTAATTTCGCAAGAAAAATAATTATTTCTAAAAAAGTACGGTCTGGGGAAATTTCGCCACCCTACGCTAAGGGTAAATTCGCACCTATTTTAAATACATATTTTTATATTTGACGAGCTGGCTAACGAACAGACTACCAGCAGCAGCAACAAATATAGGACGTCAACAAAAATGGTACGCTTGATCAGTGTAGCATATTTTCAGGCGTTAAACTCCCTACATTTTTCAGGTGACGAAATTTCCCCAGTTGTGTGGTGATTTTACCCCCCTGTGTGGTGAGATTGCCCCAGTATATTGGTTTTACATTTTATTTTTTTATAAATCACCAAGCTAATTAAAAAAATAGGGGAATGTCACATTTTAAAGCTTGGTGCTAACCGCATTCAACAATAAAAATAGAAATATGATAACGTGTCTCAAGATGGACAAAAAATAGCTTTGAAAAAATGCTGACGAAATTCCCCCACTCTCCCCTACACCAAAAATTAAAATTTTTAGGCAGTACATGACCTAAAAAGGAACTTTTAGTCCATTTAAAAAGTTTTAGGCTATGCATGACCTAAAATGTTGTCCATCATTTTTCTGGGTGTATGTATATTTTGGAGATTTCCATTTTCTTTATATACCCTTTCGCTCTTCAACGAGAAGGTATTACAATTAATCAAAAAGAATTTTCGACAGTCTGTGCTGCAGTGCGTATGATTGATGCCTCAGGAGGCCTCGGAGGCCCACTTTCCCACGAAGTGCAGAAGTTGCGGAGGGCAGTAATTGACATTTAAGAGGCACCTTCTGGATGGCGCCCCTCAGAGTTTTTGCTGACGTCAGCGAGAAGGTGAATCACTGCCGGAATCCTTCTCCTTCGGATTGGTTATGCACCGCATGTCTATTTTAATTCTTTAGGCGGCGCTCTTCTATCTCGTCGATAAGGCGCACACGCACCCATAAACCTCGATTCCGTCCGCCTTTCGTGCGTCTTCTGAATGACCTTAAAACTAAATTGCCAATTGCGATTTTATGGCCCACATGTGGATAATTTTTGAGCCGATCCAGGTGCGATCCCTTGGCCCAGTGCTACCCCCGAAGAGGTCCCCAGATCGTCGATAGTACGGACTCAGTCAGAGTTGTCAGGCGGATGGTTCGCACGTTCCCGCGAAGATCCCAGCTGCATACTAAACACTAAGGCAGCCGTCTATGGGTATATCCGATTTTTTGCGATCGCCTCTCATTATGCTGGCCTTTTTGCCTTTTTGCCAGTGGCTCCGCGTATATAAATCTAACGCGCTGCCCTGACCAGACATCACTTCTTTGGTGGAAACTTCAGTGACAAGTTTAGCTCCAGCCGTGATCAGTGCGCCCCGCAAATTTATCAAAGGATTTTTAAACAGTAGTCGTTCTACTCAATTCTACAAAACGCAATTCAGTCCATCATGAAGTTCAGTGCTGCCTTGGCTCTGCTGTTGATCGCTGGTTTCGTGGCCAGCGGCAATGCCCTGCCCGCCAGGAAAAGTGAGTCCGCCGCCCAGAGGATTACCCATTCCACACCCATAATCACCCCGTTAATCATGCAACTCCCATCCACATTTCTCCATCTACTGACCTACTGAAGACCGGCAATACCTCGTTCCAGGAATGGTCTACCTCCAGCAGCCCGCCGCCGCCGAGTGGTACGGATCCGCTCCCCAGCAGCGTTTCATGTACATGCAGTACGTCCAGCCAGGACGCACTCATGCCCGCTCCACCCAGGCGGCCAGCGCTTTGGTGGCCGGCGAGACCGTTGCCACTGGTACCTACCTGAAGGGTAAGTCAACTGCCCCACTAACCTAGACCAGCCACTAACCACCAAACCCTTCCTAACAAAAAGATTGCAATCACGCAGAGTCCGAGGTCAGCGCCGAGGGAGTCCAGGCTGAGGATGTCCTGGCTGCTGCCGGTGCCCATGGTGCCAGCTCCGTGGCCGAGGCCTTCCCTGACCAGGCCCCAGTCGTCCAGGTGGCCATCGATGCCGATGTGGTGCCCCAGGTGGAGTCGGAGGCTGAGCCTGAACCCGAGACCGCTGATGATGCCGCCAAGGTGCCACGTGACTTCAACTTTGCCGCCGAGGAAGCCTCCGTCGCCGCCGCCGCCGCTGAAGAGGAAGCTGCTCCTGCCGAGGCCGAGCTGCCCGTTCCCGCTCCCATTGCTCCGGTGGCCGCCGTTGTGCCCGCCAACCGCTATCTGCCCGCCAAGAAGAAGGTGATCGTCGAGCTGGACCAGGAGGAGGATGAGGAGCCCCAGGCCGCCGCCATCGAGGATGAGGAGGAGGCAGAGAACGCCGTGGCCGACGATGTCGAGGAGGACGAGGAGGTGCTCGCCGTGCCCGTGAAACCCATCACCGCTCGTCGTCCCGCTGCCAAGAAGCCCGTCAAGGCCGCCGCTCCCGCCGGTGGCAAGCCCTCCAAGAAGCCAGCCGCTCCCCTGCCCGCCGGCACCTTCTTCCCCATCGACTTCGGAGGCACCAACGGTGGCGCCATCGCCATCGCCAACTCCTTCAGCACCGGCGAGGGTGGTTCCGCCACCAGCCACGCGATCGCCTACGGCTCCCCCGAGTCCGCCGTCCGTCGCGCCCGTCCCAATCCCAGCAAGTTCCGCCACTAATCCTCGGTCCGTCGATCAACCACATCTTGCTAGCGCCCCGCATCTGCGACGGGCACCCCAATCAAATCAGTCTAAAAAGATTCTCCTGTAATTATTAGCAAAATTGTCCATCCTTGAGCGCATTAAAATAAAGTTTTTCTGTTTTTATATCTGCTGTTTTAGTTAAGGCTGAGAGTACCTTTGGAACTGAACCACTACGGACTGGACTGGTCCGACTTTGTTTAAGAGGTTAAATTAAAATACATAAGTAAAGTAGAACCATTATAATAATATAATTGATAGCTCCCTAAAGAAGGATCGGAAATAGAGTGGAGAAAGAAATTATAGCTTCGGTTTTTTGGGAATACCATTTCTTAAATATTTGAATAACAAATTACATTTTTTAAAAATCTGACGACTTTATCATGTAAATGCCATAGGAACGATCAGAAAACTAATGGGAAATAATAAAGAAACAAGAAAGTAAGCAACAATTATAAACCCTTGCAGATAAAGTAAATACCTATAGTTTAATGCTCCCTAGGTGCAGTTCCATGGATTCCAGATTCAGCGTGCCTATTTATTTTAATTATACCCGTTACTCGTAGAGTAAAAGGGTATATTGTATTCGTGCAAAAGTATGTAACAGGGAGAAGGAAGCGTTTCCGACCCCATAAAGTATATATATTCTTGATCAGGATCACTAGCCGAGTCGATCTAGCCATGTCCGTCTGTCCGTCTGTCCGTCTGTCTGTCCGTCTGTCCGTCTGTCTGTCTGTATGAACGCTGAGATCTCAGAAACTATAAAAGCTAGAAGATTGGCATTTTGCATGCAGATTTTAGGAGTTCCTACGCAGCGCAAGTTTGTTTCAAAATGGTGCCACGCCCCCTCTAACGCCCACAATCGCTTATATACGATTTTAAAAATTTTAATATTTTGGAAAAGTAAAAATGCAGTTTTATTGTGTTTATCAATACCTATCGAAATGTAGAAGAAATTTTTCAAATCGGACCATTCGTTAAAAAGTTATGCGTGATCAACGTTTTCTATCTCTATCTCCATCTCCCTCGCACTCCCTTTACCTGAGTAACGGGTATCTGATAGTCGGGGCATCCGACTATAACGTTCCCTCTTGTTTTGTTTTTATGTTGTCAAAAATCAAAACGCCGACTTCCTACAAAGTTACAATGAATTTTCTCATATTTGTTCGAATATTCTGTACGTTTCTATGCGAACTAGTCTCTCAATTTTAAAGCTATCGCGATGAAACTTTCGCAAAAGTCTTCTTTCTATTGCAGGTAGTACATATGTCGGAGCGAGCCGGGTCGGACCACTATATCTTAAGGCTCCCATAGGAATATTCAAACAAATATAAGAAAATTCATTGTAAGTTTGTAGGAAGTAGGCGTTTTGATTCTTGACTACTTAAAAACAAAATTTAATAAATAGAAATGCTGAATCTGGAATCCCTGGAACTGCACCGAGTGAGCATTCTTTTATCTGCGAGGGTATATAAGCTTTGGCTGGCCGAAGGTAGCTTCCTTTCTTGTTTTTAACATTTTAGAATTTCGTATTGAATGTAATACGTCAAATTTGGATGACGGACTAACTAAAACATTTTCGCAGCGGCAAAACTTTATGGACCAGCCGTTCAACGGATGGTGGATTGTTAATGGTGACGGTCTAACAAACCAAGAATCCGTTTTGGTAAAAACATTTCAAAATGGCGATTCAAAGCGAATAAAATATTATAGCAGCCCATCGAGGTAAATTTGTATATAGTGTTTTTAAAGAACTTAGATCAAAGTGGAGAGAACCTGTTTTTTTGATTTCAAAAAGTTTCCCTTCCCCTACTTTAAAAAATGGCCACACAGCTAAGTTTGATTTGAACCTGGCTTACAATTATTTTACAAGAAGAATCTACTGTCCCAACTTTCAGAACTCTCCCCTATACTATGAGCTCATTGAGCATACATAGTACAAACCCAGATAAAAAGGATTAAAAGTTAAACAGCCCAATTAAAGCTCGGATGTTTACTGAATAAATTTATTTATTAATAAATAGACCTGAGATTATACGTAAATCCATTTTAGAACATCAGATATATAGCAATCCATCAAAAAAATCAATTGATTATTTAACATTCATCTAATTAAAGTTTTACAAGCAAAAGTGAATAGATCGCTAGAAATCAAATGTTTAAAATGATTTCACATAATCGCAAGTCTATTAATAATTTTTTCCTTTCAGTTAAATGCAATCGTTATTAATTCATGTTACATTTAAAGAAATTTGTCGATTTTTAAATAATTTTAACTCGTGTTTTCAAAACTCCCTTATTCAGGAATGCTGTGCAGTTCTAGTTTATTCATGTTACACTGTCTTACTTAATTTCATGATGAACGAGAAACAATTTAAAAATGAGCCTATTGGAATACAAATTTTCGATCGGCGAAATATTGTCGCATTTGTGGTGCATAAAAGATGTTAACAAAGAAAAACAGTCTAATCAAAATAACATTGCGCGAATCCGCACTTTTACACCCTTAATATGAACGGTATATTTATGTATATATTTAAAAGACACTACGCGTATGGTACAGCTGGCTACACTGCATGGATTTCGTTTCGGATTCTTCTGTTTCTGTTATTTTTATACAAGAACGATACGAGGCAAGCGCAAAGGTTGCTCCTGCGATACTAGACTAAGTGGCTATCTGCTTGGAATCCCTATATTTAACTTTCAGCATAATAGCGAAACGATTGGTGTGTGACTAATATATAAAGACGTTAAAATTAGACTCTCCTCCGCCACCACCGCTGCTGCTCCTTCGCGGGTTACTACTCTGGGTGTTTCGCTGATATCAGTAACCGTACTTGTCCTGCCAGGAGGTCATCACATCATTGGCCAGATTGCTCAGCCGTCCGGCCACTTTGTGTACGCCCTGACGAACGCTCTCCTTCACGCTCTCCACATCCAGGTCGGGTGCATTAAAGTTGACCGACGATCCTGCAATTTATACAATACAATACAATTTATTCACTCTAAATCAGGGTTCTGAAATTGGCACACATGGTAAAAACATGAAAAATTATATTTTACAGTGTGATCAAAATTGTTCACATGTGTGTCAAATACAAATGTGTTAAAATGTGAAAAATAATTGTTAGCACACACAGCTCACCTGTGTTTTTTACTCAATGTGTTTTTGTCACGACGTGTTTTTTACACACTGTGTTTTTAACCAGGGACCGTAATAAATCATTATTTGAGATTTTTATTTTAAAAAGACTACTGTGATTTTTTGTTTTAAAAGTCAAAAATAACGTTTTTTAAAGTATATGCATGTCAACAAATCTGGAAAGCAAGTTAACTGTTATTTGTTCATGTCTATAAAGTGCATAAAAACCAGTTAAATTGTTGACTAAAACTTGTACAAATCTCAGTAGGCCTTTTAAAATAAAAATCTCAAATAATGATTATTTACGGTCCCTGTTTTTAACACAAATGAAAATTACATTTTAAGCCTAGTACTCACTTCAATCAAAAAGGCGACGAAATGAAAATTTCTATACAAAAACAAGAGAGAACGCTATAGTCGGGTGCCCTGACTATCAGATACCCGTTACTCAGCTAAAGGGAGGAGATGAAGATAAAAACTTTGATCCGCCGTAATTTTTTAACGAATGGTCCGATTTAAAAAATGTCTTCTACATTTCGATAGGTATTTATAAACACAATAAAACTGCATTTTTACTTTTCCGAAATATTGAAATTTTTAAAATCGTATATAAGCGATTGTGGGCGTTAGAGGGGGCGTGGCACCCTTTTGAAACTTGCGCTGCGTAGGAACTCCTAGAATCTGCATGCAAAATGTCAATCTTCTAGCTTTTATAGTTTTCGAGATCTCAGCGTTCATACAGACAGACAGACGGACAGACGGACATGGCTAGATCGACTCGGCTAGTGATCCTGATCAAGAATATATATAGTTTATAGGGTCGGAAACGCTTCCTTCTACCTGTTACATACTTTTGCACGAATCTAATATACCCTTTTACTCTACGAGTAACGGGTATAATGACAGGCGAAAAATTTCGTGATCAAAATGTTGTATGGAGATTTTCATTTCGTAGGCTTTTTGATTGAAGTGAGTACTAGGCCTTACTGACTAATGTCAGTCGAAAGGAAAATGAAAACCCAATATGGGCATGATATCTTATATGTTAGTTTTATACTCTGGAAAACCGTACATTTTTTAATGTCAAAAACTCATTGTGTTAAAAACATGTCGTGTTAGTAACACATCGTGTAAATAACACGAATTAAATGTGTGTGTTACTTATGTTTCTAACATATGTAGGATACAATTTTTTACACACAAGTCAATAACTTTTTTTGAACTTAACACTTGACATTTAACATGTTAATAACACAAGTTTTTTACAGTGTGTTTTATTTTCCGAGCACTGCTCAATTTTACTCACCTCTGTTGCCTGCACTGCCGCCGGGAGTGCCGTCGCCAAAGTAGTCCGACGATGATATGGCTCGCGATCCCTGGAAGCGGTTCAAACTCGCGCTGACGTCAGCCGAAGACTGTTCGCTGGCAAAGTACTGGTCGGAGCCGAAGCCCTTGGAGTTGCCGAACTTTTGCTGGGCGATCACGGGATCGTTGCTTGCGCCTCCTTTGCTTTGACTCGAGGAGGAAGAGAATCCACTGCTCTTCTTCACAGGCGCCGTCGTCTTGGGCTTGTCATAGTCATTGCTACCGGCAAACATGGACGTTATGTTGCTGTGCGAGCCGCCAATGGGCTCAATGGTCTCGTAGCCCAGCGCATCCAGTTCAAATTTATCCAGCTTGCTGGTACCGCCAGTCGAGCTCTCCCGCTTTTCGGTAGAGCTACCTCCTCCTCCTCCACTGCTGCTGTTGCCGTACAGGGAGTAGTCGGTGAAGAAGTTATCGCTTTCCAAAGAAGAGAGTTTTGCCTTGGGGGCTGCCGTCTGCTGGATGGTCTCCATATCGCCGAGCGCCGAGTGGGCCATGTCGGAGCCACGCAGACTGAAGCCCATGCCCAGTCGCTCCATCTGCTTGGCCTTGGCGGGGTCCATGGTCTTGAGCTTGGCCTCCTCGCGGGTCTTCTGTATGGAGAGCTCTTGGTAGGCCAGCCGCATGCTGGCCACCGTCTCCAGTTCCTCCTCGGCCGTCTGCGGCTTGTCCAGCGGAGCCGCAGCCACTGAGGTCTTCATCTCGTTGGCCGCATTGGCACGGGCCTCGATGTCTGCGAAATTGGTCTTCACCTTCGTGGCTCCCAGGCCGCCCACCTTGCGGGCACCCAGCTGGAAGAGAGGTAAATCAATTAGGCTGTGTGCTTTATACTCTTGGTGGTCACACTTACCCCACTCTTCTTCGGCTGCACCTTTCGCGCTCCAATGGAGGAGGGCACAGCTGCCGGCATCGCCAAATTGAGCAGGTCCACGCTGGGAGCGCCACCCAGTTGCGTCTCCAGGCTGATAACGGGAGCAGCGGTTGCTGGCTTCACATCCGGCTGGAATTCAGTCGGTAGTTAGTAAATTTAAGGGGTTATTAACTCGAAAATGCAAGAACTCGAAAAGCGCGTGCGTGTCCTGTTTTGTGGGTCGCCATACCTTGCTCACATTGTTGTTCTGCACATTAAAGTCCGCCTCGTGGTCGCACTGGGCGAAGAAGTCCTCCTCCTTGGCGGCCTCGTTGCCCTCGCTCTTGTCCGTCTGCTCCAGATGCAGCTGGTTTTCGGTGTTTTTTGTGTATTTCGTGGAAGAGGAAGGGAGTCAGGGTTGGAAAGCAGGCAGAGCAAAGCAAAGTTAGGAGGTTTTAGTGTAACGAAAAGAACTACAGGCAGTAACAAAACGATCCTGGACTCACCTTCGTTCCATGCACCTTCATGGCCTGCTGGGCCTGGGCACTCAGCTTGTCCCGGTAGAGCTGGGCAGCCCTGGAGTTGTACTTGACCTGGGCATCGGTGGTGCTGCAGTTGTGGGCACGGAAGAACTGGGCAGCGTTGGCATTCCCGCCCAGCTGCATCTGGCGAAGCTGCAGCCAGGTCCAGTTGGTGTCCAGGTTGGTGCTGCGCACGAAGGTCAAATGCACGCCCAGGTTGCGGTGCACGGCGGAGCAGTCGATGCAAATGAAGATGCCGTAGGTGACGGAGGACCAAGTGGGCGCCTTGGCCGCGCAATCAAAGCAGGACTAAGGGGGAAGAAAGGTAAGCGGCTCTCAAGGACGAACTCGAGAAAGTAGGGCACACTCACTTTGTTGGCTGGCTGGGCCCGCAGGCGACTGAAGACCGACTCGATGTCCTGTTTGGAGGGTCCTGCAGCTGAATTGGCCATGGCTAAATGCTCGGTGTGGAATTTCTGACTTGTGACACGGACACGAAAAACTGTCGACGTTGCTCGACGCTACTCTGCGCGACGCTCTCCTGGCTCTCGCTGCGAATTCGATTTGGGTTGGCCGAGGGAAGCCCTAGATAGCAAACAAATATCTTTGCCAATTCTTCGACTTTTCAGAACGTACGTGGACGTGTATAAAAACACTTTTGCATCGATATTTTCGATATTCGATTTATTTGTTTTATATTTCTTCGACTGAACGGTCCACCTGTGCTGTTAGCCCACAGTGTGCTGTTAAGCGCAGCAGTGTTGGAAAGGGAGTGGCGCTCGGAGCTGCCACGTTTTGCCAGTGGCGCCAAATCAATTTTAAATCATTTTATTTATAATAGGGGCGTTCGATTTCTTTGTGACCTACTAAATTCCTTTATATTATAGATTTCTTAAAAAATAATATTTATCAATTATATTTCACACAGCAAAATTTCTGAAAAAAACAGAGGCAAGAAATCAATTTAGAGCAGTTTCGAACTGTTCAGACTGGCCGCCACTGTTGTAATATCAGCGATTTTACCAAATGCTTGACACATACGAAAAAAATCGACCTTTGTAAAAAAAGTGGAAGAATAAAAAGATCTACAATCAATACAGAAAACATTCAATTTTACAAAATAAAAGCAGAGATCGCCTGTATAACCAAACTATCTGGGTATTCCCTGAACTGTTGAATTGCTGAATTGTTGAAAATTCAACAGAAAATTTCAGCAAATAAGGAAACGACCCAAAATAGTTCCTGTTGAATTTTCAAACAGCTGTTATTTGTTTAAAAGTTTTACGGAACTTAAAACATGTAAAATTTGATTTATTATTGCTAGTTAATGTCAAAAATTGTTACCAAGGTAAAAAGAACCAAAAATAAAAGTAAATTTTGAAATAAATAATGCGTACTGTTGATACTGAAATGTTACAGAGTTGCCATGACTTTTAATAAAAAAGGTGACAACTCTAACTTTTCAGCAATTCAACAAAATTTTCAACAGCCCCGAGGCTGTTGAATTGCTGAAATTTCTGAAAGTTGACTTTGTATGGGACAGCTGGTTAACAGCTGACCAAAATTCAACAGTTTAGGGAATACCCTGAATGTTTGCAGCAAAGGCTCAGAATATGCTCTGCACTTCGTAAATAATAACTAATATTAATTAAAAGTGTACTATATATTACCAAAACAGCAGAATTTTGGGGTTGTTTACAAATTTGCCATATTAATATTGGCTAGGCGAGGCGCAGTAAGAAAGGGATGTGGAATCATTCAGATATGTTTTTTAACTATTATCTTAATCTATTTATTGTATTATTCTACAAAAGGATTAGGAGTACGCAATTTTACGACAGTTTTCCCAAGTTGAAATCCCCCTTCGTTAATGTTGAGCTGAGCAACTGCTCTTCAGTCAGCTTTTATTGGATGGTGGATGGAGTTCTGTGGGAACACGAGTTTCGCATTCGTCAAAAATCCCGACCGTTTCAAACGGATGGACTCTATGGGAAGAGGCTATTAGAGACATCACTGTACATCAGGTTTCTTACAAAATTGTGCGCTACCTTTTCTTTATGGATCTCGGTGAGAATAAATGCAAAAATATTATGTAATGGAATGAAGTGGATGCACTGGAATGTAGTGGATGCTACGGAATGCAGCATAATTTGACATTCCTTTAACATCCCAAGAATACCGCCAATACATTCGATAATTATGTAACTTGAAGAAATCGCTATCGAGTATCTGAAGCCATCGAATTCCCTAACGCCAATGCTGGACAATAAAATTAATTCAAACCGCTTTCGAAATGAAAACAAGAAGTAGCAAAGCGTCAAACTCCTCCGGTCGGAACTCTGATCCGCGGCTCCAGAAAACAGGCAAGTCTTCGAGCAAGGTGCGTATTTCAGTGGGCATCAGCCTGTAGCGTTTGTCTAGTATCTCGATTGAAATATGATTCCGCAGCCTCCGTCGCCCGAGAAGAGCAATCACATGGACGATCCAGCGGATCCTGCCCAGATTCAGTCGCCTTCGGACGGTGACCTCCAGAGCGCAGAAGCGAGTGATCAGGAAGAGATTCTGGATGAGATTCATATCAAGAGCGAGCCCTTCTGCGAAGATTTGTGGGATGTTCTCGACGAGCTTGGTGATATTTTGGACGAGGAGCAGGCCGAAAATCAGGCTAGGAATCAGGCTGATTTACAGAACGAGGAGCTGGCCGAGTCGGAGGTGGATGAGAATCCCGAAACGCCACCTCCGCCCTCCATCTCACTAACCGACGACTTCTCCTTGTTCACCAGAAGAGAACGACCTGCCAGCTTTGATGAATCCCTGCAGGAGTCGGGCGAAATCTCTTCTAGTGAGGAGAGCGCACCCGTCGGAAGTATTAATTCACCTAATTTAACCCTAATGGAGCTCAGGAGCAGTCCAGAAGAGAATCCCGAGCGCTGCAGGAGCAGGTTCTCTTTGGAAACAACCCAAATCCAGGCAGATCAGAAGGAAACCCGCAGCAAATCCAAAGAAAGGAAGCATTCACCGCCAAAAAAATGCGTTAGTCGCAGTCCCAGTCCCAAGTTCAGGGGCAGGAGAGGCAGGAGCCGCTCCAGGAGCTCCGCCGAAGCCAGGAGAAGGTCAAGTCCGGTCGGCCACAGAAGGCGCAGGAGTAAATCCAGGGAGCACACACGAAGTCGCAGGAGGAGCCACTCCAGGGAGCGGCAAGAGCGCCGCCGTAGACCACATTCACCGCGCCGGCGACTGAGATCCAGGTCCAGGAGTCGTTCTCGTTCCAAACGAAACCGGAGATCCAGGGATGCCTCCCCCAGGAGGCACAGTCCCTTTCGCCCGCGACCTAGATCGCCCAGATTTGTGCGGAGGGAACTCAGGAGGCATTCTCCTGAACGTCGTCCTCGACATCGTTCGAGGAGTACTTCCAGGCCCGCCAAAAGCCTGGTGCGACACCGACTGGGCAACAAAGTTAGGCCGCGGGAGCCCACGAGGAGCACATCGCCGCCGGGAAGAAGTCCTCGAAGCAGATCCAAATCAGCCAAGATCACGCAGCGAGTGAGGTCGCGTTCGAGGAGTAAAAACAGGCCACCAAAGAGAGAGAGTCCAAGAAGTAGCTCACCGCCTAAGCAAAAGCAACCCAAGAAGCCTCTGGCAGATCTGGCAGAGGCCAAGCTGCCTCAAGAATCCTCCTCCATCTCACCGCGACCCATCTCCCCGATGGTCACGCTGCACGACAATCGAGTTAGCCGCCCGGAGGAGTTGCGTCAATACCTGCTGGCCACTCCACCCGCACCGCACGTTGTCTACACGCAGACGCAGTACATGGAGTACAGTGCGCATCATTTTCCCGGTTATCCGCCAGCAGGACCCTACGGTCGTCCTCCGCCGGAACTCGGTCCCTTCGACCTGCGCCGCCGTTTGGCCACCACGCGCACCCTCTGTTACCTGCGTCCCAACGATCTGCGTCACAGGATTCAGGACATGTACGCCCCACCACCCGCCTTCAATGCCTACGCCGAGTGGCCCACGGGTTACCCACCGGGGCAGCAGTACCACCCCAGTGGTTACTACTAAGCCAACTCAAGTAAACATTTTATCTTATGACCAAGAAAAGGGCCTTCATTTGTATTTCGCACGATACGATTGTCATATTTTTTTATTCTTAGTAACTAGGGGGTATTTTGACTGTGTCCATGGACAGATCCTCTGCGGCGACGGGTGAATCCTGGCCGGGGATTTGGGCTCGGCTGGAGCGAGAATATCGAACGGGTGAAGTTGCGACCGCAACACTTCATCCAAGGGTGGGGATCCTGATCCTGATCCTTTAGCGGTGTCTCCACTTTATCGGAAGCTGGAGAAGGGTTCTGATGAGAATTATCCAGGGATTGGGGACGCAAGAATGCCAGACGGGCGCTGCTCATGCTGAAATCACTGTCCTTTGGCTCTCTTTTGTTTTCGCAACTGCCCATATTAAAGACGCAGCGGTCGATTTGCCGAGACTCCGGTGGTGCCTGCTCCTCAGGATCCTGGTTAGTGGCCATCGTTGATAGGTTCGAGATGTCTGATTTCAGAAAGAGTTAGCCCAAACCATGAGTGTTGAATCCTTGTTCCTAGCACCAAAATCAACAACAAATACTATAAGCTAGTGGCATTTCTCAATAAATACCGTATTATTTTCCATTGAATGACATTCTACAAACGATCCCGCAATTTCATTGATAAAGCAGTGTTGGGTAATTTTGTTTACCTACATGAGTAAATAAGAGGAGGGGGATCAAAAAGTTGGGTAAACGCCACTGCTTTTACTTTAGGCAATTGTTAGAAAATGGGGTTAAACCAAAAAATATCGTTATCTAATCATAATATGTAGTATTTGCTAAAAAATTAGATGGACATTTTAGTTTTCGCAACCATAATTCAAGTTTAAGCCCCTCTGTCGTTTTAATTTTGTCCCTTTCAAAGTAGATTACGCAAATTGAGTAAAACAAAATTTTACGGTTGGGTCCACATATTAGAAAATTGTAGGTTGAACCATTTTTTTGGGGTTATGTGTGAAATCATTTGTATTTATTAAAATTCTTGGAGGTAGGTGATCAGTTTATCATATTCTGTATTTTTACCGAATACCGGGAATTTACTTTTTACTATATAGAACTACCAAGGGTTGGCAAAGTTAGTTTCCGTCAACGTTTTTTATAAAATTTTAATTAAAAATTTATTAATGGGAGCCAGCATAACTAAATTAAAAAGATATTAAAGATGCTGTCCATATATTACGTAATTTCTGAAACAATCAAACCAAAAAAACATAATTGGTTTTACCTGAGAAATTAGTGGCTGACTCCCCCCTAAATACTTCTAAAAATCCAATTTACAATTATCTCTAAAAATAGTACTCAAAAATGTACCTTGGTACGCATAAACATGGGTACCATAGCTAGACCATCCCAAACGCTTACGCGTTAGTGTTAATCAACGAGAAAAGTTACAAGAAATTTTGTATATTTGGTCGTTACAGTTCAAAGAAATCATGTTGTCTTCGTATCGGATTCCTGCAACCGGCGGAGCTCGGGAAGAATGGAGGCCAGTTCCTTAAGCAACGATGCATCCCGCACAGTCCCATCTTCGATGCCACGCACCAGCTGCTCCATCTCGAGCAGGAAGCATTCGTCCTCTATTTTTTGGTGGTGTCTGGATTTCACGTGGAGCTCCAGTGTATCCTTGCTGATAAAAACATGATCGCAGTGAAGGCATCGGTGTTGTTTGGTGGGAGCATTCTCCTTTTGGTGCACCTGTTCCTTAAGTGATCCGTGCTCGCTGCGGATGTGGCGTCGCAGTGTGCTTGGGCGTTGGTATCCTTTCTTGCAGACGGTGCACACATGGCTCTTCACGATGGATGACGAGGACTCGCCATCCTTGGCTTGGCAGCATCTGTGGGACGCCAGCGAAGACTCCAAGGGAAAGCGCCTCTGGCAGGCAGCGCAACTGAAGGGTCTGGACATGTGCTTCTGCTGGTAGTGGCGGCGGAGTTGTCCGATATGTCGGAACACCTGCACTCCGGTTCCGTGTTGGTGGTACCGGCACTCTGTGCAGGGACAGTGGAAGCAGTTGAACCACCTGTGCTCCCCCACTGGAATGTTGTGGGTGTACTGGATGTGTTTCTGGTAGCTGGCCAGACTCTTGTAGACCTTGCTGCACCACTCGCAGCGAAAGTCAAGCTGACCCACCAGATCGCCCACAGGGGGAACGATGCACCTCCTGTTCTCCATGGACGAGCTTTCCTCTTCCCATAATAAAGCGAAAATGGCGGGTTTTTTTGCGAAGGGCTCGGCCAGTGTTAGTAACGTCTTGGGTGCATTTTATTTAAAATCGATAACTATCTTTTGCCACCTCTGTATCGTAATGGAATTGTGAAATATTTTAAATACCAAAAAAGAATTAAATAATTTATTAAATGTTCATCTAAAAATTATAATTATAATTGTTGATTGAATATAATAATAAAATGATTTAGAACGCTTCTTTGTATTTGGGATTTAGAATTATGGAAGTCCAGCAAAACAAGTTAAAATGTACAAACTTTTTAAAAACTTTAAAATTTTAAACATTTACTTTACATGAAAAGCTGATCAAAATCTGCGCCGTAAAGAAGAATGAAAAAAATATTTAATAAATACTATTTATTTAATGGATCGTTATAAATATTCTGACAAAATATGATTTTAGAACTCTTGAATGGTAAGATATCTGATATCAGATAAAAGCACTTCCAAATTAGTACACCATGTGAAGATCTCTCTCTTAACGTATAGAATTCATTATATTAAATTTTGTGATGAAAATTTCTACACCTGAATTATATGTGTAGAGGGCAATCTAAATCGCTTTAAATTTTAAAGTTTAAAATGTGAAAAGCTAAGCGGGTATAATGATTTTTAATTAAATTGTTCTTATTCCTTCCCAGCTCCTTAACTTATTTATTAAATTAAATAAAGACAGATATTACATTTAAAAAAAAATCTGTTAATACCATTAAAGTTTATTTTTTTGTGTATTTAACAGAATCGATACTTTTCGAGTACCCCATTAGTGTTGCGTAACGCTGGAGGTCAATGTACTCGCTTTATTGTCGTCTCTTTCGCACAGGAATCACAGCAAGCGTAGCGGCACTTTTTAAGCGTCAGCAAAATCGAAGATCTCACAGCTCAGATACAATTGTTTCTCCGTTGTGTTTAGAGCTCGTGTGTTATTTCTCCATCGATTGAATATTTCGAAAAAAAACCGATTTGTGCGCGCATAAAATAACAGTTTGCTTACGAATATTTTGAGGCAACCATTTCTGCAGGGTCAGAAGTTACCTATTTCATTGGTCCTCGCCGCCTGTCGCCGTCTTGCTCGCTCGCGCACACGTGCTCCGTTTTGTGCCGCACTTACCCCTAAAAATATCACGCCCCTTGAACCCAAAATGGCACCTAAGAAACATAGTGGTTTTATGATGTTCGTGACGGAGTGGAAGGATCGCAACGCAGAGGGTCGTCGCATGTCGATATCCCAGGCTGTCGATCATTGCAGCGGCATTTGGGAGGTAGGTTCTAGATCAGCGGTCGGCAGCGCCCTATTAAGTGAGCATAGGGTTTTGTTCTGCCGGCGCGCTGCTCGCACATGTGTAACGTAGAACAACGGTCTGCACACACACATCGATGAGCTGCCCAGTGCAAATTACTCACACAAATATAAAACAAAATGTCAACGTATGTGTGTGCCGACCGCTGTTCTAGATTATTCCAACCAGATCCTTAGATCTCCTTGGAATCATCGATTTTCCTTCCAGAAAATGACCCCCCAACAGCGGGGCCCCTACAACTCGGGCGCCAAGGACCCCGATGTGGCGGAACGCGGCAAGAGGGAACGCCTCAATTGTCACGGTGTGGCAATCGGCAAGGTGGACCAGGCTCAGAGGGAGGCCGATGAGAGTGTGATGCAGATGAAGCGCACCACCGAAAGCATGGTGATGGATGCCAGCAATGAACATGGTAATATAGATACATATACACTCAAAAAAGGAAGCTAGCTTCGGCAAGCCGAAGCTTATATACCCTTGCAGATCATTCCTATTAAATTAAATTTCCTGTTATTTTACATTAATTTTTCGATCGTTTCTATGGCAGCTTTATGATATAGTAGTTCGATCTTTTAAAATTAATATCGAAATTCGGAAATATTTAAAAATAGTCGTATCCCAGAGTAGAACAGAATGTAATAAAAATCAACAAAGATATACATTTTTTATACCCTTACAGAGGGTATTATGATTTCAGTCAGAAGTTTGCAACGCAGTGAAGGAGACGTTTCCGACCCCATAAAGTATATATATTCTTGATCAGCATCACTAGACGAGTCGATCTAGCCATGTCCGTCTGTCCGTCCGTTTCTACGCAAACTAGTCTCTCAGTTTTAAAGCTATCGGGATGAAACTTTCGTAAAAGTCGTATTTCTATTGCAGGTAGTATATATGTCGGAACCAAACGGATCGGACAACTATATCTTATAGCTCCCATAGGAAGGACCAAAAAAAAAACGTAAAAAATTCTAGCTCCGGTGTTTTTTAAAATTTTACCTTCTACTCTTGGGAACATTTTTTTTTATATATTTCTGAATTTCGGTTTTTTTGTTTTTTAAATCGGATCACTATATCATATAGCTGCCATAGGAACGGTCGAAAAATTAAATGGAAATTAATGGGAAAAAAATTATATCTTTGTTGGTTTTTATTACAGTTCCTTCTACTCTGGGATATGACTATTTTGAAATATTTCCGAATTTCGATTTTAATTTTTAAAAGATCGAACTACAATATCATATAGCTGTGATAGAAACGAACGAAAAATTAATGTGAAATAATAAGAAATTTAACATTTTTGCGATTTGTAAATTAATAGAATGATCTGCAAGGGTACATAAGCTTCGGCTTGCCGAAGCTAGCTTCCTTTCTTGTTCCATTTAGTTTTTCAACATTTCCTATGGCAGCTATATGATATGGTGATCCAATTTTTTAAATATTTAATTTGAAATTCAGAATAATATAAAAAATAATATTCTCAAGAGTTAAAGGTAATATTTAAAAAAACACCGAAGATAGAATTTCTTTTTAACGTGTTTTTTCCTATAAGATATAGTTGTCCGATCCGGTCGGTTCCGACATATATACTACCTGCAATTGAAAGAAGACTTTTGGGAAAGTTTCATCCCGATAGTTCAAAACTGAAAGACTAGTTAGCGTAGAAACGGACAGACAGGCGGACGGACGGACAGACGGACATGGCTAGATCGACTCGTCTAGTGATGCTAATCAAGAATATGTGTATATACTTTAAGGGGTCGGAAACGTCTCCTTCACTGCGTTGCAAACTTCTGACTAAAATCATAATACCCTCTGCAAGGGAATACAAATCGCCATTAAAGCAAATTCAAAGGCGATTTTCTAAAACCAAATGCGATTATAGGCGTTTTTTTTTTTTTAGTGTATTTACCTACTCCTTCTTCAGCTTCCACCTGAGTAACCTCTTTTCCTGCAGATCTGGAGAACGCCAAGTTCATCTTTGCCGCCTTCAATTACTTCGCCAAGGCCCCGACCACCAACGTCTATCAGCCCGCTGAGTTTGCGGCCTGCCAATACTCGCTGAAGGAGGGAATCGGCTTGATCTACAGCACCGCGATCAATCCCGGTCTGGTCATCTTCGGGCAGGGTGCCGAGGCCCAACACCACAGTTCAACCACGCACAACCTCCCGCTGCATCCCAATGCGCTGGGCGAAAGCAATATGACTAAGCTGTATGGAAACATCTTGGAATACCTGACCGAGTGCCAGGGAGACAAGCCTCTCATCGTGTTTACACCCAAGGAACACATTACCATGGTCAAGTCGTGCTTCCTTTACATGGCCGGCGAGGATGACTCCAAAATCCAAGTGTTCGACATAAGATATCTGCTGTTTATTCTAAAGAAAGAGGTTCTGCACATCGCCGATATTCCTGATGAGAACATCAACAAGTTCGTAACAGACGCCTTTTTCGACCGGGATTTCTTTGAGTTTACCCCCGAAATCGCTTGTCAGGTAATAATGCGTTTTTATATATTTTTATTCAAATGCTAATTAGAGCCCTGCGCGAAATTTTCAATTTTTGTTTTATCATAGTTTGTTTAATTCAATTCTATGTGAAGTAAATTGAATGTTTTTCTAATTTCGAATTGAATGAAAAAATGAATAATTTTTAAGCATTTTTTGAATTGCCAGATTTTTTTTGTGCCTTTTAAGGGGTTATATACAGTTGTGATAGATGAAAAAATCAATTGTTTTTTATTGCATATTCTTTAACTATATACGGTTGAGGATACTCTTACAAAAATTCAGAACGATCGGAGCATTAGAACCGAAGTTGTAGCTATTTATAGCGCACTACCTGCACATTGGCCGTTACAAACTTGAAACTTTAAACACGATTATCTCAGAATCTTGTTTTTTCGAAATTACCTTTGCGGTGGACACGATTACTAAAAAACCACTTATTTATTATAACAATAGCTAGTCCTTGAACGAAGGATTTTAAATCCAAAATGTTATACCTTGAAAAAGTAAATTTTTTGTTAAATTCGCCATTTTTTTTAAATCAAAATTTTTGCAAATCCTTTGTTCAGGGACTAGGCAATACAATATAATAAAGAAATTTTTTTGAATTGGGGATTTGAGATGAACCGTTCTTGGGATATGATGTCCACCGCAAGTCATCATCGAAAAAAGACGATCTTGGAATTTGGCCATAACATTTTTATTATTTAATATTTTTTATGAAAAAATTTTGATAAGTACCCAGAAACATGTACTAAGCAACGCCTGCGAAACAGTTTTAATAAGTATTTTTTTTAATGTCGAAAAAAAATCGGAAAAATTTCATTTTTTTTGTGCGGTACAACTGTATATAACCCCTAAAGAACAAGAAGTGGAAAATTTTTAACAAATCAATGTTAACAGCATAGTAAATAAAATTCATGCAGATTTAGTCACAAAATTATGGCCCTTTCTTATTCTAAAGAAATTGTCGTTTGAATTATTTTGGAACTCAGGCCATTCAGTTCTATTAAAATCGAAATTCAAATTCTATTACACTGAAAATTCTAATTAATTCATTCATCTAAAACAAAAAATTCAAAGTAATTCATTTAATCCATTCATGCAGGGCTCTAATGCTAATCCCACTGATTACTTTTTTCAGTTCCACGAAGCAAATGACAGAACGAAGTATTGCACGCTAAGTCAGGTCAAGAGGTGGGCTTATACTTTTAGTGATTTAATGTGTGGTGATCTGGCCATCACTCTTATACCCGGGAAGCACATACCACCCATGACGTCTTCACTCGACTTTTTCTAATCTCTGCCGTCGCGCGGAGCAACGAGACACCTCTCCTTCGAGCAACAGACACCTCTCCTTCGAGCAACAGACACTCGGCGCCTATGCCGCCCCCTCGCAGACAATGCACCGAATCGGCGTGAAAGGAGTGCCGGCGCTTGGAATCTGCCCGCGAACTCGCGTCCACTTGAAAAGTTCACTGACGATGATTTCGCCGTAACCGGAGCAAAAAAAAAACCAACAAGAAGTCAACAATGTTTTAAGATCTTGAAATTTGTTTTAAAAACAAAGCTAAATATAAACATATTGACTAGAAACAATACTTGATTTTATGAATTTTCTTATCTGGTAAACAATTTTTGGATAAGCTTCCGTTTAGCTCCTACGCCCAATTTTGTTCAAACTTTCCATATTGACTTGTTTTTGGGTCCTGATTATGGGAAAAATAGTCATAGTTGGCGCAAATAACGGGATCTTGAAAAATAACGGTAAAAATCTTAAAATTTTCGGGATTTTGCTGTTTTCGGAAAATATAAGGAAAATTAAAAATGTTTCAGACAAAAAGAAAAGATATTTATAAAACGGATCTTTTGTGTATTAACCATTTTCTTCGTAAACATAAAGGTTTTCGAAAAAAATTTAAAATAAGTATTTTAATTAGGTGGTGAACACTTAAAAATACTGCAGTATCCCGCCATAAAAATGGCGTCAGATAGTTTGCGATTAGCCGATAACAGCATTATACCTTCTAATCTAGCGATGGACCTATTTTGATTTTTTATACGATGTATCGTGTTCATGTTCCTCTAAAAAAATGGAACGGATGACCTGAATGGAAGCTGGATAAGCTTTTAAAGAAAGTAGTAGGGGGATTCCCTAAACTGTTGAATTGCTGAATTGTTGAAAATTCAACAAAAAATTTCAGCAATTAAGGGAACGACCCAAAATGGTTCCTGTTGAATTTTCAAACAGCTGTTATTTGTTGAAAATTTTCACGGAACTTAAAGCGTGTAAAATTTGATTTATTATTGCTAGTTACTGTCTAAAAGTGTTATAAAGGTAAAACGAACCACAAATATGCTTTCTAAGTTGATTTTAAAATAAATAATGCGTACTGGTGATACTAAAATGTTACAGAGTTGCCACGACTTTTAAAAAAAGGTGACAACTCTGGCTTTTCAGCAATTCAACAAAATTTTCAACAGCCCTGAGGCTGTTGAATTGCTGAAATTTCTGAAAGTTGACTTTGTATGGAACAGCTGATTAACAGCTGACCAAAATTCAACAATTCAGCAATTCAACAGTTTAGGGAATCCCCCTAGTGAGCTACAGGCAAGGAAAGCGCCGCAAGCAAAATTTTTTTAAAGAAAAATCGCCGCGATTTTTGTTAAAAAAAATGTTTGCTTGCGATTTTATAAACGATTTATATGCATTTTTTGTTAATACATTTTATTTTATATATATTTTATATTTAACTACGAGAACAGAAATGCTCTTCCTAAAAAATTTAATAGGGGGATTCCCTAAACTGTTAAATTGCTGAATTGTTGAAAATTCAACAAAAAATTTCAGCAATTAAGGGAACGACCCAAAATGGTTCCTGTTGAATTTTCAATAAGCTGTTATTTGTTGAAAAATTTCACGGAACTTAAAGCATGTAAAATTTGATTTAATATTGCTAGTTACTGTCTAAAAGTGTTACCAAGGTAAAAAGAACCACAAATATGCTTTCAAAGTTTATTTTAAAATAAATAAGGCGTACTGGTGATACTAAAATGTTACAGAGTTGCCACGACTTTTAAAAAAGGTGACAACTCTGGCTTTTCAGCAATTCAACAAAATTTTCAGCAGCCCCGAGGCTGTTGAATTGCTGAAATTTCTGAAAGTTGACTTTGTATGGAACAGCTGATTAACAGCTGACCAAAATTCAACAATTCAGCAATTCAACAGTTTAGGGAATCCCCCTAATATCTTATATTAAATTTGGTGACGAAAAGTTAAATAAAATAATTACAAAAATAAAAGATTTCTTACACATAAATTATATTTGAAAAGGGCAATCTAAATCGTTTTAAAATGTGAAAAGTTAAGCGGGTATAATGGTTTTAAATTAAATTGTTGTTCTTATTCCTTCTCTTCTTATCTGTTAATACCATTAAGGTGTTTTTTTTGTATATTTAACAGAATCGATACTTTTCGAGTACCCCATTAGTGTTGCGTAACGCTGGAGGTCAATGTACTCGCTTTATTGTCGTCTCTTTCGCACAGGAATCACAGCAAGCGTAGCGGCACTTTTTAAGCGTCAGCAAAATCGAAGATCTCACAGCTCAGATACAATTGTTTCTCCGTTTGTGTTTAGAGCTCGTGTGTTATTTCTCCATCGATTGAATATTTCGAAAAAAAAAACCGATTTGTGCGCGCATAAAATAACAGTTTACTTACGAACATTTTGAGGCAACCATTTCTGCAGGTTCAGAAGTAACCTATTTCATTGGTCCTCGCCACCTGTCGCCGTCTCGCTCGCTCGCGCACACGTGCTCCGTTTTGTGCCGCACTTACCCCTAAAAATATCACGCCCCTAGAACCCAAAATGGCACCTAAGAAACATAGTGGTTTCATGATGTTCGTGACGGAGTGGAAGGATCGCAACGCAGAGGGTCGTCGCATGTCGATATCCCAGGCTGTCAGTCATTGCGGCGGCATTTGGGAGGTAGGATCTAGATTATTCCACCCGATCCTTAGATCCCCCTGGAATCAATGATTTTCCTTCCAGAAAATGACCCCCCAGCAGCGCGGCCCTTACAACTCGGGCGCCAAGGACGCCGATGTGGCGGAACGCTGCAAGAGGGAACGCCTCAATTGTCATGGTGTGGCAATCGGGCAGGTGGACCAGGCCCAACGGGAGGCCGAGGAGAGTGTGATGCAGATGAAGCGCACCACCGAACGCATGGTGATGGATGCCAGCAAGGAACATGGTAATATATACACTCAAAAAATTAATCGTCCTGAAATTGAGAAATTTGCTTCACTAGCGATTTTTTTCTTTAAAATAAAAAAATACACTCAAAAAATTAATCGCCCTGAAATTTAAAAATGTGCTTCACTGGCGATTTTTTTCTTTAAGGCCTAGTACTCACTTCAATCGAAAAGCCTACGAAATGAATATCTCCATACAAAGTTTTGATCGCGAAATTTTCCGCCTGTCATTTTTGTATAGAAATTTTCTAGTACTAGGCTTTAAATAAAAAAAATTTTTAACGGTAAAGAAAATTTTCTTCAAACTAAATAAAATTTATTTAATTTAAGAAATTACTAAAAAAAAAATAGAGAAAAAATCGCCAGTAAGGCAAATTCATAGGCGATTTTCTAAAACCAAATGCGATTCTAGGCGTTTTCTTTTTTGAGTGTATTTAGTAAATACTATTTACCTCTTCCACCTTGAACTTCCACCTGAGTAACCTCTTTTCCTGCAGATCTGGAGAACGCCAAGTTCATCTTTGCCGCCTTCAATTACTTCGCCAAGGCCCCGACCACCAACGTCTATCAGCCCGCCGAGTTCGCGGCCTGCGAATACTCGCTGAAGGAGGGAATCGGCTTGATCTACAGCACCGCGATCGATCCCGGTCTGGTCATCTTCGGGCAGGGTGCCGAGGCCCAACACCACAGTTCAACCACGCACAACCTCCCGCTGCATCCCAATGCGCTGGGCGAAAGCAATATGACCAAGCTGTACAGCAACATCTTGGAATACCTGACCAAGTGCCAGGGAGACGACAAGCCTCTCATCGTGTTTACACCCAAGGAACACATTACCATGGTCAAGTCGTGCTTCCTTTACATGGCCGGCGAGGATGACTCCAAAATCCAAGTGTTCGACATAAGATATCTGCTGTTTATTCTAAAGAAAGAGGTTCGGCACATCGCCAATATTCCTGATGAGAATATCAACAAGTTCGTGACAGACGCCTTTTTCGATCGGGACTTTTTTGAGTTTACCCCCGAAATCGCTTGTCAGGTAGTAATCCGTTTTTATATATTTTTATTCAAATGCGTGAATTATTATATTTTTGTTTTATCATAGTATGCCATGAAGTTTCTGATTTGTTTAATTCAATTCTATGTGAAAAAATTTAATGTTTTTCTATTTCATTTCGAATTGAATGAATGAATAATTTTTATGAATTTGCCATATTTTGTTTGTGCCTTTTGAGAACAAGAAGTGGAAAGTTTTTAACAAATCAATGTCAACTAAAATTCATGCAAATTTAATCATCATTACAAAATGATGGCCCTTTCTTCTTCTAAAGAAATTGTCGTTTGAATTATTTTGCAATTCAGGCCATTCAGTTCTATTAAAATCGAAATTCAAATTCTATTACACTGAAAATTCTAATTAATTAATTCATCTAAAACAAAAAATTCAAAATAATTCATTTAATCCATTCATGCAGGGCTCTAATGCTAATCCCACTGATTACTTTTTTTCAGTTCCACGAAGAAAATGACCGAACGAAGTATTGCACGCTAAGTCAGGTCAAGAGGTGGGCTTATACCTTTAGTGATTTCATGTGTGGTGATCTGGCCATCACTGTTATACCCGGGAAACACATACCACCCATGACAAAGCCAAACCATCGCTTCGTCGAATCGGACGCCTCGTCACTTATGCAGGAATCGTCCTTTGACTCTTTCTACTCTCTGCCGTCGCGCGTCAAGAAGGAGCAGCGGGACACCTCTCCTTCGAGCAGCAGGAACTCCGTCTCATCCAGTTCGTATGCGCCTACTGACCACACTGCGTTTACCGCAGACCTTAATGAGGTGGGTGAGTTTCCCAGCCTCGGCGGGCGTAATAACAGTGGTCGCCGCCCCCTCGCGGATAATGCCCCGAATCAGCGCGAGAGGAGTGCCGGCGCTTGGAATCTGCCCTCGCATTCGCGTCCCCTGCAAAATTTCACCGACGAAGACTTCTCAGTGACCGGCGCTAAAAAAAAGGGCAACAAGTAGTCAATATTGGATTAAGATTTGTTTTAAAAACAAGGTTTCCTAAATATAAACATATTGACAATAAACAGTACTTGATTTTGTGATTTTTCTTATCTAGTAAACATTTTTTGACAATAGTTTATGTGGGCTTACATGATTTTTAATTAATTAAATCTTGGATCTATTTACGGCCATAGACTTAGATGTTTAGTGATTAAAATGTTAAGCGGTTTTCCTAATAGGGTTGATTCTTGTCATTAATAGGCAAGAATCACTTGTTCTAATTTGATAACATATGAAGTATGCAGTCGATTTCTTGGAATTTTTCTCAGCACCTAACAATATCTTTAATTTTGTCCATCCCGATCATTAGGAATCATGAAATTAAATAAATTGTCTTCTATAAAATCATGTTTTTTGAAGAACTTATATCCAATTAAAATCGTGGCCTAAGATTCGTAATTAGATATCAGAATTTACATTTGTTATTTAATAAGGTTAAGCGGAAAAAAATATTTTAAAAATTGTTTGGTCAAGTTTTAAGAAAGCTCACTGCGCTTAGATCTGGGCATAAATGTTAAGCGTCACTCGATGTGATTCTAAACAAAATAGTAAACTCAACACATTTAATTTATTATAATTTTATTATCAGGAATAGCTAAAAAAAAAAGAACGCACCTGGAACGTACATAAGTACTGATATCAAATTTTGTGACGAAAAGTGCTTCAGCTCCCATAGTAGTAATAGGTAAATAATATAAAAAAATTATAGCTTCGATGCTTTTGGACATTTTACCTTCTTTTCTTAGGATAATTATTTTGTATACATTTCTGAATTTCAGATTAAATTAAAACAAACTGACGTCTATATTATATATGTAGCTGCCATAGAAAGGTTAGACAAAATAATGTCAAACTAATACGAAATTTAACATTTTTGCGGTTTGTAAATTAAAGGGAATAATCTGCGATCCAAATCCAAAAACTGGCCGATTGAGTTAGGCGAACTAAAACTTCAATACACTCTTTTGAGTGTTTTTAATTTTATTCAACCTTAATGTAATGCCAATCCCTAAGATACCAAGGAACTGGCTTCGCTCGGAACGGAGCCCTTGGAGTTCCGGGTCACCAAAGCAATACTCTGAGGATCTTGCAGCAGAACGAGTCGAGTGAAGGCCAAGCCAAGTAAAAAGGCCTGGCCCAGAAGTTCGCGTTGGTAGCGCTCCTGCTGCGAGAAAATGAGTCGCAGGTCGGCGGGAAAGTGCACTTGTTGGCGCAAGCTCTGCGGCGACTCTGTCCTGGGAAGCTGGTGTTCCACATTGTAATGGGTGCGCATCATGGCCATTATGGTGTCCTCCGACGAAACGCGCTCCGTGCCTACCAGGTGATTAAAGAGACGGGCCGAGAGGAAGCGACGCATATAGAAGAGGTTGTTGGCCTTGTTTTCCTCGGCATCCGACCGGGCCATCAAGGAGTAGCTCATGATAGCGGCCACCTGGGCCTTCTGGATGTTCACGTTCTGCTGATCAATGCTGCCCGGATTACTGCTGGCCTGCGCCATCTGTGGACTCTCCAGGACGTAGCAGTCGGCCTGCGGAATTTGATGGGTGACATAAAGGCAGCGGCGCGAGAGCTCCGACAAATGCAGCTTCTTGTCGTTGAGTTCGTGGTGATGCCAATGAGTGAGCAGGCAGGGTGCATCGTTGCTACCGATCTCTAATCTCGCCCAGCTCACGCTGGTCACCCCGATGCGAACGCCCACGGTGGAGGATATACGTTGCCGCTGTGCCTCATCTAGAGATGGTGTTATAAAAGGCGCCACTCGCGCCGCCTTCGGCTTATTTTCGGCACCTTCTCCAGTGCTTCCACTTCCCACCGGCGCCAGGAGGCTCTTGAAGAACTTGGTGGCCGCCTTCAGGCCGAATCCCTCTACATACAGGATGTCGCTGAGCTCCTGCAGTGGACCATGCCTTGCCTTCCAGTTGTGCAGCTTGGTGGCCCTCGCCTTGGTGATGTCGTAGCTATATAGAAGAATGAATTGAGTGATGTGGAGTGCCAGTAAGTTGGTAGTGCCTACCATCTTACCTGATCATCTCATTCGTGCCATTTTCATTGATGGCCTGCAGGATCTTCAAGCGTTCTTCTTCCGTGTAGTCGGGCAAGAGGTTGCCGGCTTGGTCATTCACCGGCTGAGCAGCTTTGGACTGCTGCGTGGACGAATGGCGAAGGCTTCTAGTGGTCAGGCCCAGCAATACGCGCCTGAACAACATGTTTTAACGCTATATGGTTAATCACACGCTCCGTTGTTATTCAATGTTGTTTTGGTCAAGCCAATCAGCTGTGCGTTTAGTGTGAACGTCTGAGAAGGTAGATAGTGGAAACACAATCGATTCGACTTGATGTAGCTATACAATAGGGGTATTCTATAAACAGTTGGCTGGATTGTTGTGTGAACTTCTGAGCAGGATAGATAGATAGATAGTGGAAACACAATCCATTCGATTTGATGTAGCTATACAATAGGGGTATTCCCTGAACAGTCGAATGTCTGAATTGTTGTAAATTCCACAATAAATAATAAATAACAATAAATAATAAATAAATTAGAAAACGACCATACATTTTTCCTGTTCCATTTTAAAAGTGGTGTGTTTGATTAGTTTTAACATTTTTTAAAATCTAATTTTCTTTTTAATAATTATTAGTATTAGTAAGCTATTCATACTCTTACAAGTTAAAAATTTAAAAAATTTATATGTATATATATATATAATAAATTAAAATTAAAAATGAACCTAATTTCACACCTCAAACGAGCTAGAGCAGCTAGAGCTCTTAATATAGTTAAATTATACTTTTAAATTATACTTTACTTTAGCTTTATATAAATAAATTTATTTATATGTTAAAGATTTATAGATATTTTGCAACTTAATTAGATAATTCAATTTTCATATAGTCTTTACCTGTATTTTTATTGAAAGTAAGTGTGATTTTTTGACAATTTTCCATCCTAGGATGAAGAATGAAATTTTAAACTGATATTATGATTACTAGTCCTTAATTATGCGGTTATTCCACTACATCGTTCGGATCATTCATTAGTACAATTTTTTCTCAGCCCATACGATTTTACGTAGGTGCGAGCAAGATCCGATTTACAGTAGCTCTAATAAATGAGCAAAATTGTACTTTTTAGATTCAATTTTGCTCATACAAAAAAAAATAAAATGGTGGCCTTCGGTTTTTAAAATTTTGCTCATTAATTGCTCATTGCAGCTGACATATATCTGTCTTGCTCGCACCTACGTAAAATCGTATAGGCTGAGAAAAAATTGTTCTAATGAATGAGCCGACCAATGTAGTGGAATAACCGCATTAGCAACTGAGATTTTTCAAAATAATTTATGAACTGAATTAAATTTACTTAATTCCATTAAGGTTCTCGCTAAGTTCTGTTTTAAAGTTTGGCTATAGCCAAATCTATGTAAAATAGCCAACAATCTTAAAAAAGCTAAACATGACTGCAAATAGCTGAAGCCACAACACTGATGGCTCTCTCTCGCTGCGCTGCGGGAACGCGAAGTTCCAATCGGAACGGCGACAGGCAGACGTGCGTCGTTTGTTGAGCGGGTGGCGTAGTGGAATACGAAACAATAAAAAGCGTAATTCTAATTGAATAAAGACAACAATAACAAAAACAACGGTTTCTGGGACTCGGTTGCCTTGCCATATGTGACACCCAGCACACACATGCGTCCGTAAATCGAGAAACATAAACATCTGTTTTCAGCGCGGATGCGGGTGCACAAAAAAAGTGAAATTTCGCAGCGACAAGTGGAAGAGAAAACGGAGAAAGGTGGCACTGGAGCTGAGTGGAAATCCTGGCCATGTCGTCGCTGGAATTCGAGATCACAAGCTGTCGCAACAACAACAATACGTATGGATATGCAAACAACAACAACAACATGCAGAAGCAATTACCCGCCCCCTCTGCCTCGGCTGCCCCCGCTCAGCTGATCCAGGTCAGCTGTTCCAAGGAGGCGGACCCACTGGTCAGTAGTGCAACCTCCTCCACCTCCGATCCCTCCGCCCTGCTCGCCCTGGAGTCCTCGGAGGAGAGCGAATGCGACCCCTTCCTCGCCAGCAATGCTCCCAGTCGGAGGGTCATTCGATCCACCTCATCCGTGCTCCGCAGCCGAAAGCGCAACTCTTGGTGGGGACGCGCTCACGGCTTCCTCAGCCGCAACTGGTACCTGGGCTGCCTGGTGCCCGCCTCCCTCCTGGGCGCCCTCGTCTTTATCGGCTGGGCCACCAGGGACTATGCCCGCCAGCTGCTCTTCTGGATAGAGATGCAGAACGCCTGGATAACCTTCGCCGTCTACATGGCGCTCTTCGCTCTGGTCAGCTTCCCCGTGGTCGTCGGCTACTTTGTCCTGCTCATCACCGCCGGCTACCTGTTTGGCTGGCTGCGCGGATGGCTCACCGTCATCCTGGGCGCGAATCTCGGCATCGCCGTCGCCCATGTCACCATTCGCAGCTGCCGGCATCGCATTCCCGTGCAAAGGTGAGTGATTTGGAGCTACGCATCCTAGCTAAAACAAGAGAGAACGTTATAGTCGGGTGCCCCGACTATCAGATACCCGTTACTCAGGTAAAGGGAGTGCGAGGGAGATGGAGATAGAGATAGAAAACGTTGATCACGCATAACTTTTTAACGAATGGACCGATTTGAAAAATTTCTTCTACATTTCGATAGGTATTGATAAACACCATAAAACTGCATTTTTACTTTTCCGAAATATTGAAATTTTTAAAATCGTATATAAGGGATTGTGGGCGTTAGAGGGGGCGTGGCACTCTTTTGAAACAAACTTGCGCTGCGTAGGAACTCCTAGAATCTGCATGCAAAGTGTCAATCTTCTAGCTTTTATAGTTTCCGAGATCTCAGCGTTCATACGGACAGACGGACAGACAGACAGACGGACAGACGGACAGACGGACATGGCTAGATCGACTCGGCTAGTGATCCTGATCAAGAATATATATAGTTTATAGGGTCGGAAACGCTTCCTTCTGCCTGTTACATACTTTTGCACGAATCTAGTATACCCTTTTACTCTACGAGTAACGGGTATAACTATCTGGTACTTTTGGAGTTTAAAAGCTCAGATTGACATGGAGCTGGTGAAATTGAGCTTTCGTTGATGGTGGGGTTTCTTTTGAATGCTCTAAAATCATTTACTTACTCTTCAAAATTTAGATCCTCTATGAATAAATTCCAACTTAAAAACGAGGACAGAAGCTAACTTCGGCAAGTCGAAGCTTTAATACCATTGCAGATTTTACGAATGAAAACTTGACTAAATTAGCAACATGAATTGATAAACAACAAAATATTTTATAATTGAAAAAAATAAAATTTTAAAATTTTTCACCCTATTGTTCCTATGGGATCTATAGGATATAGACGCCCGATCGGCACGCGCTTTTACCCTAATGAAGGTATGCTTAAAATAATAAGATTTGGAAAGTTTCATGTCAATAGCTTATATTCTGCGCGAAATATCCTGAAAAACGTTAAATTTTTACCGATTTTACCCTATTGTTCCTATGGGAGCTATAAGATATAGACGTCCGATCGGGGTTTATGGGGTCGGAAACGTCTCCTTCACTGCGTTACAAACTTCTGACCAAAATTATAATACCCGCTGCAAGGGTATAATAAGGAGAGACTGACCAAGCATAAACATCCGTTTAGCTCCGATTTGTTCCAACTCTATTAGTATGCATTTGAGCGTCCCAAAAATATTTATAGTTTTTAAAGACTTGAATGCATTCGTTAAAATAATTATAGATTCCACGAAAAACTCACTTTTAGCAATATCGACACGCGATTATCTGATTTATTCAAATATGTATGTACGTAATACGTACTACGTATGTATGTATCTTATCCCCAACAAATGTAAATGAGGCAAAAGTTATAAATTTGTTTGTCAGAGGTGCTAATTCTTGCATACAAATACAAAATAGCAGCGGAACATTCAGTAAAGTATGTGTATGTTTTAGCGTCATGTACGCTCAGAAACTAAAATTGTCTTTAACTTTCTTTTACTTCTTTTACTACGATTTACTACGGTTTACTACGGTTTACAACGATTTACTACAATTTACTACGGTTTACTACGGTTTACTACGATTTACTACAATTTACTACGATTTACTACGATTTACTACGGCTTACTACGGTTTACTACGTTTTACTATGGTTTACTACAATTTACTACGATTTACTACGGTTTACTACGATTTAATACGATTTACTTCGATTTACTACGATTTGCTACGGTTTACTATGGTTTCCTACGATTTACTACGATTAGTAGCGGAACATTCAGTAAAGTATGTATATGACTTAATGTCATGAACGCTCAGAAACTAAAGTTGTCTTTAACTTTTTTTTACTACGATTTACTACGGTTTACTACGAGTTACTACGAGTTCCTACGATTTACTACGTTTTACTATGGTTTACTACGGTTAACTACGGTTTACTACGATTTACTACAATTTACTACGATTTACTATGGTTTACTACGGCTAATTACGGTTTACTACGATTACCTAAAAAAATATTTCCTCTAACTTCATAAATCTTAACCAAAATTATCATATTGGTTGTTGGAGAGCTATCTTTTAGAGAAAGAGTTATGTTTAAGCAAATATTAAGGAATAAAGTTATGATAAAATCTTTTCTCGGCTTATATGCTAAAAATAAGGAATTTTTCAATTTAAAATAAGTAGCAAATATAAAGGTACGCTTAATTTTCAGTTTTAATTTCCGCAGGCGAAGTTGCGGGCCTTCCGAACCTGCTAGTTATTTTAATAAAATTTTCTATCGTGGGTATGTTTGAAAAAAAAAAATTTCTTTAAAATCGTTCTCAATTTTTTTGGGTCATACTTTATCACTCAGAAGGAATTAGACATATAAAGTCAAACTCATTACTTGGAAATATCAAAGTGAATTTATTACCACTGAGCCTTTTGAAAGCTCCTAAGCTAACATTCTATCCTAACATCGTATTTCATATTCTGTAATTTTGTTACAATGGCGGAAAATCAATATTTAAAGAATTATTTGAAGAACTTAATTGTAACGTATAAAATAACTCATTTTGATTACATACATTTTTTAGTTGTTATAGGAATGGAACTTATCGGGATGACCCAGAACTCGCAAAGCCCTGAATTCGTACGAAATTCTTACGTACAACAATAAAAAGAATACCCGAATTCAGTGATAAGCGATTTCTGTGGCACCATTATATATATGTACTTATTTGACTTACTTGTTGGTTCATATTGTTTGTACGACGACTGAAGAATGTTCTTTCAATATTGTAAAATGATAAAAGGTGTTTCGTATGGATAGTTTCTCTTTCTTATACAAATATACGGATCTTTTAGTCAACCGTACTAAAGGAGATCAGAGAACCCTATTGAACAACTGTCTCACAAAGTACCCTCTTCCTTCAACCTGTCTGCTTCCATTGAATCTTCAATGCTGCGTTCCCTTAGAAATTTTAAGTATTTAGCCCGACGTGACGTGCGTCGCGGATGCTCCGTGGTGGCCACTTCGGATCGGAGTGATGTCCATCTGGTGCTGCCCACGCTCATGTCCTCCGAGTTCGCCAAGAGAATCCGACCTCTCCCAGTGCCCGAACTAATAGATAGGTTTTCCCGCGACGCCCCAGGCGGTCAGTTTCCAACCATAACCGAGTATCTGCGAAGCGATCCGAGATCCGAAGAGGTTCTGTTGCCCGAGGAGATCGATTTGCACCGAACAATGGCCTTGGATGATCTCAATGCTTATATGCATGCTAAGGACGCTTTTAAGGAACCTCAGAGAAAGAACCGAATATTTGCCCACGTTCTCGTGGTGGCAGGTGCTGAATCATTAAGGAGATGTCCATTCCGACAAAGATCCGAGTTCCTCTATCTCTGCGATTGCTTGAGACCAGGAGCGGCCTTGGTGCTCCACCGCAGCCGAAAGCAAAAGTCTGGTGCGCTGCTCTTCCTGCCCGAAGAGGTGGACTCCCAATTGTCCACAATCTATAGCCACATGCATCATGTGGACGACGTTTTGCCCCTCGCCATGCTAAAGAAAAGTTTGCTCTGGCTGCTAAAGGATCAATCGCCTGAGTTATGGCACTCTTTTCAGACCTCAAGTTTAGTTAGCAGGATAGTCCAGGAGGCGGCCGATGAGGCTAGGACACCTTTAAGTAACCCCCGATACATCCTGCAGTACACACGCACCGTTAAGACATCCCGGGAGCTGTGTGCCCTGCGTCGGGCCAACGAAATTGCCGCGGACTCCTTGGCAGAAATGATGGCCCAGCACCATCGCAATTCCCACAATTTATCCACCTTTTTTGACTACAAGTGCCGTCTGCGATACGCCCATCCGGATGAGGCCAAAGCCTCCTGCTTACTAGATAACAATGGATTGTGGCATTTGGATGCTGGTTGCCAGTACGGCGGCTACGAAGGCGGACTGGCCAGATGCTGGCCGAGCTCAGGCAGGTTCACTCCACCCCAGAAAATGCTTTATGGTGCTCTCCTCGACATTCGTCGCGATCTGTGCGCGTTGATACAGTCCGCTGGAAGTGAAGGAGCTGTTCGCACACCTCTAGAACTGCATGCCGCTTACCTAATCCTTCTAGCCCGGCATCTCAGGGAGCTGCGGGTGTTGCCCAAAGGGGAAAGGAGTCCCGCTGAGACAGTCGAGGTGGCTCGCCACTACAACTGTTCTCCAGTTGTCGTCTCCCACGTGGGTCTTGGTAAAAGGGACACCAGTCGGAGACTCCTCGACTATCCCTTTGCACCTGGGAACGTCGTTTCGCTGCGCCTGTCCATCTCGATTCCCGACGACTGCTGTCGCGCTTACCCCGAGTTCCGGGGCATTCTTTGCCAGCTCGGCGACACCTTGCACATCGGAGATGACTATTCCGTGGAGGTACTCACTGCAGTCTGTCCCAGCGAACCCCAAGCGATCGAAGCATGCATACCCGCCGGTCGAGCCAGATCCCTAAGATTGCTAGCTGGCGGGGATCAGGGTGGATCACCAGCATGACCTCGCTGGCGGCGAAGAAATACCGCGCTGATAAGGGCATGGCAAGTAATTCCTAGGAATTAACGCCGTCATTTATTCATGTGTTACTTCTTTTATATATATTAAAACCCGATTTGTCATACTACTTTGTTTGGTTTGTGCAAGACTCGTCACTACAGCTGAAATACCTCCTTCTCCAGTTGCTCGCCTGGTTTTCTGTGCCTTATCAGGCATTTATAAATGTTTATGGCGCGACTGTGAGAAATAATTGCATAGGCAAAAGCTGATAACAGCAAGTCTTTACATTTCCGCCAATTACGAGAGTGCGTCCCACTGTCAAACGTATCTAATTTTTCAATTATAGCTGCGAATCACGTTTCCCAATATAACAACATAATGTTACCAAGTGGCGAAAATGACCCCTTAATGGGCTGGTTAATTGTATGATAACATGAAATCCCTGCCCACTCGAATTTTTATGGGGGAGCGTGAACTGGTTAACTGCCAAACGGTGGAACTGGCTTACAGCCCCCATAATCATTTCCTGATTGTCGCTTAGATAAGCGCAAACAGAGGCTATAAGTACCTATTATATAAACTAATGTATAAATAACTTCTTTTCACCTCTTTGATATGTTCTTTCGGATTTTTTTTGCAGGCTAATCAAGAATGATACGGGTCGAGCGATTCTTCGCGTGATATCTGGACCAAAGGCTTTTCGGGTGGTGCTCTTCACACGACTTACCCCCATCCCCTTCGGAGTACAGAATGTGATATTCGGAGTAAGTTATTACTAATAATAATAACTTATTAGAGAGAGGGTAAAGTTTAGCAATCGGAAAAGTAACATTTTTCAAGGCCAACAGTTTTTTTTTACATTAAAAAAGGGGTTTTATGGTAGGCAAAAACCTAAGTAAATCTTATTACACAGTCAAGGCAGCGTTCATGATTTGAAATGTTAATATCGAGGGGCGAAAATCTCGAATATATATGTACATTGTACAATGTACGTTGCACATATTCGTTTAAGTAAACCAAACTTGAACTTGAATAACGAATACCGGTTTACTTTAAAGGTCTTCTCTCTAACACCATATCGCTACTCTGACGTAGTCCAATTAAAGCATGACACACTTTTACGACCCAGTTCTATATCACATTATTATTTTCGCAGATCAGTTCCATCAATACGAGAGACTACCATGTGGCCACCTTGATTGGGCTGCTGCCAGCCCAAACTATCAATGTTTACTTGGGCTCCACGCTGAGGTCGATGCACGAAGTGCTTAACGATAATGATACCAAGCTGACAGGCTACATTAGCTTTGTATTTGAGGTGAGTTCACTTGATAATTACTTGCTTAGTTAGTCAATGTAGTGTGCTATTTATAGGCATCTTAAAAAAACATTTTGAAACATTATTATTGAACTATCGTAAAAGCTTGCTCAGACGGATTGAATTTTATTATTTCTAAATAATGAATACAAGTCTTTTCTTCTTTGATTCTTTGTTGTAAAGAATTTGCCATCGCGTTTTGTATGTAAAAAATATAGATTACCAATTGTCATTAATTCTCGGAGCTACTGTTCCTTTATTTTACCCTTTAGATTACGGAGTTCTATTAGCATTATAATTCACCGTGTCATTTTACACTTATAAGTAGGGCTATCGTAACTATTGTAAATATAGGATTTAATTTACTCTACTTGAGAAAGACCTTTTCTAATCCATTCCGTTTCTTTAAAGGTAATTTGTGGCGTGGCCCTGATGTTCTGGGTTCTGCAAAAGGCGAGAAAGGAGCTGTCGGAGACGCTGCTCAATGCTGAATACAATAACGAGGGCAAGCACCCTGACATCCAAGTCTAACAGGAGCCACTTGGGGAGGGGAGCCCCCAAAGGAGATCCACCCCAAGAGAATCTCCTGGACTAAAGGACAAGACTGCGTTTTTGCATTAACTAGTTTAAGCGAAGGTGATTTTCGAGTTATTTTATTTATTTATGCTCAAGGCAATGCCATCGATACCAAACATTACGCTAGTTTAAACAGTTTATACGTTTACGGATTCGAATCACCCGTTTTCCTCAAAAATACGCTCCACATCACAATTTATTTCTTACAACTAAGGATATTTACAATTAAGTCAAAGCCTCGCTCAGAAACTGTTAATTTTAGGATTCGATATTCGGTCATAATGCTGCTCTATAACGTTGTTCAATTACTAGCTTGTAAGGAAAGCAAATAAATGAACTCTATTGTTTAATCAGCCTATTTCGTCCTGGGGATATTTCTCCAGCTGCGAGGGCTTTTGTTCATGTGGAATTTAAAGGCTGCCTCCAATGTCTCCAGGGCGAATTCCACATCTCCTGTGCAAAGGCACAGGGGAGGTCTCAAGCTCAGCACCTGAAGAAGGCATAAGCTGTGAATTAGTTCGGGAAATTCTCCATTTATGACGTCCTGTAATTAACTAGTGTTGTACCGTAAACTAGTTTGCACATGCAAATAGTAGTTCTGATTGCAAACTTTATTGATAGAACGAGTGAAAAACAAATGAAACAAGAAGGATGCTATAGTCGAGGACGTAAAGAGTTGGGTACATTTTACTGTGTTAACCAACCAATTACAAACTAAAGAACCGTATTTTCCAAAATGCTGGGAATGTCAAAATTTAAAAAAATTGTGAGCCAATCTTTAAAAAAGTATTTTTCCAACGAAATTAGTGCCGCGTTAGGTTAATGCATTAAATGAAGATATGCTTATTTTAATGGTTGTTAAAGATATTATTCCGTACAGCTAAATGGTTAAAAACTGTTAAGTAACTTGTAATGTAAGAATATTTAGATTTGAACAGATGTACCATTTTTTTCGGAGGAAGTATTAGAATTTCGGTCAGGAAATAGATGTGCTCGCTCTCAGAGAAAGCGATCGGAAAGAGGTAGCGCATTAGGCATCTATTTCTATTAACTGCAAGGCTACATAAACTTTGGCTTAGCGAAGCTTACTTTCTTTTTTGATTAGCACTAAAATCATTTACACTAACTAGTTTGTAATTTTTCAGTCGTTGTGCATTACACTTAAATATGTCCTGACCACTCGTTTTTGAGGTGGGTACATATAATACATGTTCGTCCAAGGTCCACTATCTAATAGATAGTATCTATACTTGCCTTTCCAATATCCATATTCACCTCATTCCTATTTATATTTTGCGGAATTAACTACTTTTTGGACTAATGCATAAATTACGAGATACTATCGTTTTAGGTGTACGACTTTAGGGTAGAACTTGAATTCTAAAAAGTATAGTTGGTCAAACCAAAATGTTTTCACTTAAGGCCCCCAAACAGTTTCCAAGTCCTGTGTGTATGTGATACAAAAGCGCTTGAGGGATGGGCTTTTTGTGCTTTCGGGTGTGGAATAATCTCCCTTCGCACACTTGAATCGCAAAACTCCGATTTACATAAAATAACCTTTTAGGTTACTTAGAACATTTAATGTTATATATTACAACCAATTCTTTTAAATACTAAACAACCGAAAGTTCAGCTGAATCGGTCTTTAAATGCAATTGATACCACCCTACAAACGCTCTCTCGTGTATGTAGGTGTGTATTCCTCTTCCTCATTTGGGTCTTCGTTAATTATTCTCAGTTTGGGACTCCGTGATAGCCCGGGCCAGCACATCCAACGCAAACTTGGCGTCAGCCCGAGTGATGCACATGGGGGGCTTGATACGGAAAACCTGTGGAAATGCACGAAATGATAGAAAGATAGAGAGGGGAGGAGTGATGATGCGCCCGAAGAAGAGCCCCAAACGAGTGGAACTTGAAAATTATCGATATTTTCGATATTTTCACATATTGATTCGATATGATCGATGCTTTGAAGGGAAAACACAATTTAAATATTGAAACAAGAGAGAACGCCATAGTCGGGTGCCCCGACTATCAGATACCCGTTACTAAGGTAAAGGGAGTGCGAGGGAGATGGATATAGAAAACTTTGATCTACATTTCGACTCCATTTTTACTTTTCTAAAATCTTAAAATGTGTGGGCGCCAGACACCTTTTAAAATTGTTTGTGGGGATTGTGGGCGTTAGAGGGGGCGTGGCCCTCGGCTGAAATAAATTTGCGCTGCGTAGAAAGCCAAAGAATATATGTGGGAAATCCCAACTTTTTAGCTTTTGTAGTTTCCGAGTTCTCAGCGTTCATACAGACGGACGGACGAGTAACGGGTATAAAAATGGAAAATAGTCGATATTTTTTCAAGCTCTACCACAGCTTCTCTGGGGAAACCTTCTACGGACGGCAGTTTCTTGTTAGTCCCGTGTGCAGAATGACAGGGAGCCCCGATGAGGATGCACTTAGCCCAAAGAAAAGATTCTACTTACGTTTCCATGAAGACCACCGCGTCCGAAGAGCACGCCCAAGTCCTTGCACTTCTCCCAGATATCGAGGACGTGCGGCGTGGCCAGGGGAGTACGCTTCTCGCGATTTCCCACCAGCTCCACTCCGATCATCAGTCCCTTGCCCCGCACATCGCCAATAATTTCGAAGCGCTGCTGCAGTTCAGCCAGACCCTTGAGAAAATAGGTGCCCACCTCCAAGGAGTTTCGCTGCAGCTGCTCCTCCTCAATCACATCCAGAACAGCAATGCCCACGGCACTGGCCATCGGGTTGCCTCCGTAGGTGTTGAAGTGCAGAGCCTGACCCAAGGAGGCGGCGATCTCCGGCGTGGTGACCACGGCGGCCAGCGGAAAGCCGTTGCCAATGCCCTTGGCCATGGTGACTATATCGGGCACGTAGTCGTGACCCTGGAAGCCCCAGAAGTGCTCGCCGGTGCGCCCAAAGCCCGTCTGCACCTCGTCGGCCACGAAGAGTCCTCCGTTGGCCCTCACCAGGGCAGCCGCTCGCTTCAGGTAGCCCTTGGGGAACTGCACCGTGCCGCCCACGCCCTGGATGGACTCGGCGAACATGGCCGCCACCTTGCCGCGCGGCAAGGAGTACTTGAAGGTCTCCTCCAGCTCGTTGTAGTAGGCGTCACCCGCTTGACAGCCCTCCTGGCACTGACAGTCGCGCGTGGTCTGCACTGGGGAGTCCCGGCACTTGGAACCGCCCCAAATGCCCTGGTAAGGATCGGGATTCATCACGTGCACCAGTCCGTTGTTCACACCCGGCAGCGAGAAGCGCCAGGTGGAGTGGGCCGTCAGACCCATCGTGTAGGGCGACATGCCGTGGTAGCAGTTGCGCAGGGAGAGGATGTCCTGGTGTCCCGTGTGCATGCGGGCCATCAGCATGGCCAGGTCATTGGCCTCGGAGCCGGAGTTCACAAAGCAAACGCTCTTCAGGTTCCCCGGAAACTTGGCCACCAGGCGCTCGGCATATTCGTGGATCTTGGGGTGCATATAGATGTTAGTCGTGTGCCACAGCTTGGCCGTCTGCTCGCTCAGCGCCTTGTTCACTTTCCTATGGGTAAATAGAATTGATAATATAATGTTTATGTTTTACAACAGTCTTTAAAGCTATATTGTACAGGAAATTATTACGAGAAAACAAAAAAATTTTTCCTAAAATTGCCATTTTGTTCCACAACTAATCGAAACTTATTGTTATAAATTTATATTTTAAGTTTAATGGTACCACTTCACGATAGGATTAGTTGTTATTATTATTTGAAAATAGAACTAAAATGTATTTTACTTTGACTACGAAATTCTTATGGCTGCGCTGTGATGGAATCTTTAATCCTAGGGAAAAATTTTTCACCATCGTTTTTGAACTCTTATAAATTTCTAAAAGACAATCTTTGTGTAAATCAAAAAGGGATTTTTGAAAAGATGTTTTTTGTTTTAAACATACATATGTATCTAGCAAACAGAAAAAACTCTTATAACTAGAGAAATTGCATACTACAGATTCTAGAAAGTGGTTCCAAACCCATATGTTCCCTATTATTCTTGATCAACAAGCCTGTCTATAAGTAAATAGAGAATTGACTTAATTTTCATCTGAGTATCATATCAAAGAATTTTGGAAATAAATACTATGTATGTTATGGCCCTGTGATCTGTAAAACCCTTTTAGAACTTTCCAATAATTAATCCTAGTTCTTGAGCGGCACTTAACCTAGTCGAAATTTAGTAGTAACTCAAAGTAAATGAATTTTATGTGGAGATTAAAAATTTCCCCAGCTGTTGCTTACGGGTGGCAATGTCCTACGGACACAGTGACGATTCCGCCAAACATGTCCAGGTAGCGCCGTCCCTCGTGGTCGAATAACCACTGCATGTGGCCGGCGTGGATCACCAGTGGCTTTTTAAAGTGCGCCAGCAGGTTGGGCGTCAGGTGATCGCGCCTCGTCTTGAGGATCTGCTCGTAGCTGGAGCCTTCGTAGGCCCCCGGACGATGATCGCACTCGGGCATCTCACTTTGCATCTGGTTCATCATGGCGGGCTCCACCTTGGAGTGCAGTGTTGAACTGGAGCTCCTGCGGACCGAGGGTCTCGGAAGTATCCGACAGGTCTGAGCTGAAAAAGAAGAGGTAGTAGTAAATAAATATTATTGTTTTTTTTTAAGAGGTAATAAACAGGAAACAAGATCATTTTGGCGAGCTGATCTAAAGCTAAAGCTCACGTTTTTCAGATTTTTGTTTAATTCGTGAATTTATTGGAAATCATTTCTGTCAATGGCTTCTCATAACGTATTTAGAAAATTAGATTAAAAGACATAACAAGGTCAGAGCTTACTGTCCCCAAATTTTTAATTTGTTCATAGTATAGCTAGAAATATAAAGGTTTTTTTTTACTTTACTGAAAAGTAATGCAAAAACCACTCCGAGTCGGCAATGAAAATTAAATTCAAGTCAAAGAATTTATTATCTAAGGTTTTTCTTTATTTGGAAAGACCGATTAATTCTAAATTTGATATTTCTAGAATTTAATTTGTAACTCCATCAATCCGTTACCCAATAAGCTCAACTTGTTACAGAGGTTCAGTAAGAATAGGTATAGCAAAATGAAAATTTGTAAGGAACAAAACTATTCTTTCGAAATCCAAAAGGTATTTATGTAATTCAATTTTTTTCCTGTGCTACCATAAATTCTTCAGAAGCTTGCACCTGTCAAAGATTACCTATTTAAGCTTATCAACTGAAATTTTTTAGGAAATTATTTTTTTCTCCTGTAAAACATATTTATTTATTCAACTGGCGAGGTAGTACTGTTTATTCTGTTGTTAATTGAACTGCAACGCAATTTCCTAGTACACATGTGATTGCTCGTCGTATCAATTTCCAACAGAAACTTTTGCTGCACTTGTTCACGTGTGGTTAAGTTCAGATCTGAATTGTAAACAATTTGTAAATGGGTCATCGGCCGTGAATTGCTATCCAATTGTCCGTATTTAGCTTCAAATGCGCCATAGGAACCATAATTAGATCTTTTATTTGCTCTGAGGTGATGTTCCCATTTTAACAGATAAGAAATGGCACCCCACGAACAGCCTAGGCCACGCGACTTTTCAGTGCGCTTGGGACCACCTCTGGATTATCAGCCACCTGTCAAATTATCAACTGCTCCTTATCTTCCTCAACTACGAGCACCCCAAATTTGAACCAACTTGGACCAAGCGAGATAAGCGGATACCTAAAAAAGTTCATAATTAGGTGCACACGGAGAAAAATGGTTCATAAAAATTCATAAAAAAAAGTGAAGTAAATTTTCTTCTTTAAAAAATAATATTTTCATGGGCGAAGTAGATTTTCGTCCTTTTGGGGTGTGTATTTAAAAAATAAACAATTCTGCAAACTCGACAAAACATTTTTAATAGTTTACTCTTTAATAAAATGTACCTATAGTGCCTTAGAAATAGGCATGGAACAATTAATTTATTTACATATTTTCAGATTAGCAGATAATTGTAATAAATATTCCGGTTTCAGAGGAGGAAAAAGAAACGATTTTCCTGTGGGATCAGCAAACCCTCAAAATTGCTTTAAAAGATCTTAATCCTCCGCGGTTTTCGTACTAAACTCACCCAACAATCTCTTGGACATCATTGGTGCTCTCTTTCTCTTCTCGATATATATATAATCTAATTATTTTGTTTTGATCTAATCACACCGGGAATCAAAAGCAGCACCAAGTGAATCTACGCGAGGCGGTCGTGCGCGCTGAGCGGCGTCGGTGAGGCAACTAGATGATCGCTGAACGACTCTGACCGACGATTCCAGCGGCGGTATAGAGAACTTGGTCGCCGGAGAGCGTTATCAGATTGGAGAGCAAAGTCAAGGCTGCAGGAAAACGTTCTCTTTTGGGGGGCCTGTTGGAAAAACTCTGGGAGGTTTATCACACAGTGGGTAAACAGATGGTTGTCTCATAATAATTTATTTCAATTCTTGTTTGCTATGTACTGAAGCACAAACTACTGAAGTGCACAGGTAATCCTTTGTTCTTAACAAAAAATATATCGCATTTATCTCGCTTCTTATAAACCTCTGCCCGTTTTCCGGGCGCCTTATCCCACGATCCAATGCGCAGCTTCCTTTTGGGTGGCAGACATTTAACATGGTAGAGTAATTTACATTAGCCGTTGATATTAGTCCTCGAATATGCTATATCGATTTATCAAGTATGAATTATATATTTTGCTTTATCAACCAACATCACGAGTTTGCGCTTTGATTCTCACATTGCCCATCCCCATTCCCATTTCTCCCGGAGATTCTCGACCGGGCCTAGCCCAATGCAACAGATTATACGGAAACATAAAACATTCGCGGGGTCATCTAAAAACAAGCTCTAGGCGGCGACGTGGGCTACAATGTTTACACAAACAACAATAACCGATCTGAGCTGAAGCACAGCGTCCACTCCGAAGAGTCGATCCCGGGCAGTTCAGTTGAAGTCGGTGTAGAGGTCGGGACTTCGGGGAGTTGTTGTCGGGGCCGGCTGCTCCAAATTGGCCGCCATCTGGCGCAGATTCTCCACGCCAGTCAGCAGTTGCCTGCAAAATTGGATTGACGTTAAGAAAAGGTTTCCTTTTATTATTGATCTAGCTCACCTTAAGTTCTGCTCTGCAGTATCGGCCGCTCGCAGTAGATCCCTTGACAAATGATGCGTTCTGGACGGTCGCGGGTTGCTCATCCCACTGCTGGCGGCGTTCTCGCTTCCTCTGCCAGGAGCCGCCACTGGAACGCCACCTGCTGCGCAATCAGAGGCGCCACTGCCCCTTAGGCTGCTTAGCTCCGCCTGAAAAAAAAAATGAAGGCAATTAAAATATTTGCGACGACTGTTTTAATTGCGACAGTGGTTCTGCTAGCTTTATGCACATATAGAATGGCTCAAATGTTAATAAGTTGGGTCTTTTATAAAATTAACAATTTCTTTAGCCTTTTTTTCGGTTTAAAAGTGTATAAATTTACAGAAATAATGAACTTTCATTGCAATTATACAATTTGTGCTTTTAAGATAATGACATTTATAGAAAATCCTTAAAAAATTTAAATAAATTTAAAGGAAATTCAATTAACAATCTAATCCGTGGTTCTAGGAAAGGCTTTTTCGGCCTACACTCAAAATAAAATTAACCCTAAAGTCAAGGAAATAGTCCTATTTTTATCTTCAAGACAAGCTCCTCATAAATTTTATGGTAAAATTTTTCTAAACTTTTAAGGTATATTTTCTAAATTTTTGGGTAGTTTTACTAAATGTATTATTTTATTATTTTCGTTTGCCTTTCTATATTTCAGAAAATAATTTCTAATTTTAGGGGCATTTTTTCTAGTTTTTAGGGTGATTTTAGTTCATAGTAACCATTTTCTACATTTAAGAAAATCTTCTTTGATTAAGGAAAAACTGATTTTCGAAAAATTAGATTTAAAAATAACTTTCTTGTATTTAGAAAAAATAAATTTGAATGGCGATTTTCTAAAATTTAGGGTAAACTTTATTTTAAGTGTAGTTTAAACCGAATGCGAATAAAATTTAAATGCAATATGATGTACAAATTTGGACCACCTGTTTCTGAGTTATTAGATCTCGCATACATATATTTATTACAAGAATTAATTTTGCAATCGGGGCACTCACCTCTAATTGGGCCAACTGGCGCCTCAGCTGCTGTGTGGTTTGGGTATTGGTCGTCGTGGCCAGCGCCTCCCGCCTCCGAGCGGCCTCCGAAAACTGCAGCAGCTGCTGCTCAAAGTCGCTGGCCCGCCGGGTCTGGACATTGAGTTCCGCCCGCGCCTCCTGCAGCTCCCGCTGCAGTCGCTCGTTCTCCTGACGCAGTGACGACAGTTGCAGCGTGCCCACCGCCTCCTGGGGAGGCGAGTCAATGGAATTGGAGGGCAACCCGATAGCCACGTCGGCCAGTCGCTGAGACGAGTGAATTATGGGGCCGTCAGACAGAAAGTCGGGCAGCATTTTGACGGTAGACCCGGCGGCTGGTTCTGCGGGAGGACCGGGGACGGGGGCAGCACTGGGTAGGCAGCTCCTGGGTGCCAAAGCAGAGGGCAGCAGACCCACAGCTCCGCTCGCCGCCTCAGCTGCTCCGAGTGGGGAGTTGGGGGGCGAGCTGAGGGCATCCTGACCGCCGCACCAAGCGTCCGGCAAGTGATCCTGCACGAAGTCTGGCAGGGCGGAGGCAGCAGCACCACCCACTGCATTGCACGTGTCCAGTGGCAGGTCGAGTTTCATCTTGGGGCCGGCGGACAGCACCAGGCGTGTGGGGCGTTGATCGCGATTGCCAGAGGGACGACGGCGCGGCGAGGATGAGGGGCACGGCAGCTGTGGCGGCATATCGTAGTTGGAGTAGGAGCGAGGCACATAGCGCGTTCCAATGGCGGGTTGCTGGTTGGAGGCGGCCGATGGGAAAATGTCTGGAGAAGTGGAATTGTTAGATAAATCTCCTGTAAGTCTTATTGAGAACTAGAGCCCTGCATGAATTTTTTGTTTAATATGAATGAATTAATTAGAATTTGCAGTTTAATAGAATTGAATGAATTTGAATTATAATTTTAATAGAATTGAATGAATGAATGTCATAAATTCCGAAATAATTCAAATGACAATTTCTTTTGAAGAAGAAGGGCCATAATTTTGTGATTAAATCTGCCTAAATTTTATTTACTATGCAGTTAACATTGATTTCTTAAAAATTTTCCACTTGTTGTTCTCAAAAGAAGACACAAATAAAATTCTGGCAATTTCAAAAAATTTATAAAAATTATTCATTCATTCATTCAATTCGAAATGAATTAGAAAAACATTCAATTTATTTAACATGAAATTGAATTAAACAAATCAGAAATTTGATGGCATGATACTATGATAAAACAAAAATTGAATAATTCACGAAGGGCTCTATTGAGAACTCACCATCATCTATTCGCTCGTCGTACAGCCTGCTGGTGTTGCGCACTTGGGCCAGCGCCACATGGTCATCGTCGTCGTTGTCCAGTGCATCCTGCACGACGTCATGGCCCAGCCGAAGATCCGGTCTCAGGCGGTGCTGCGACTGGGAGGAGCCACTACCACAGGCTGCGTACTCCGCCAGACTCGCCTGCGAGTCGAAGGAGCTGAAGCGCGGCGATCGCTTCATCCGGGAGGATGCACTGCTGCCGTTCACATCCGGTGGCTGCTGCATGTGGGAGGCGGAGGCTGACTGGGGCACCTTGGGCCGTGCCCCAGTGGACGTCTGGACGGCGGCCGAGGTCACCGTGCTGGTCGGAGCCGTCACAGTGCCCGTGCTGCTGAGAAAGTGCTTGAAGGAGAACGAGGAGGACGACGACGAGGAGGAGGGTGCTGCTCCTCCCGATCCCGAGCCGCCCGTGGACGTGGAGGCCCTCATGGCGGAGTAGTCCGAGGCACGACCGTTTAGACAAACGTCCGCCACGAGATCGTTCACCCCGCCGTCGGTCAGAAGCGCCTGCTGCGCCGTTTGGGGAATCCGCTGCTGCTGCGGAGCGCCCGTGGCCGCCGCTTCGGTCGCACTCCCATTTGCCATTTAATAGGTGGACAACTGTTATGGTTTTGCCGGGATGTCGGCCTTGCTGGGCGTTGCGTCTGTGTCCTGCTGCCTGTGGCGTCTGCTGTTTCCCTGCCTCCAGTGGTTTTGTTCTCGCCTGCAATTCAGTTATTTTCGCATCCCATTTTTCCCTGTCCCTTAGAGCTGGCAAACTATCGATATCTCTGGATAGGAGCCAGCTTGAACCGTCGATGGTTTAACAACTATCGCGATACTATCGTCCCTGTATACCAGCTGTAAGATATATTTAGTAATTTGAATATTATAAATTAAGCCTTTGTTTTTGTGGGAACATGCAGTCCCTTTTAGTAAAAAATAAAAAATAAACAAGTTAGCTTTTTTAGACTTTATTAACTAGGTTTTTGACATAACATATTCATACTTCTTTAGAAGTCACAAAACGGTAATGTTTGCTATTTAAAGGTAGCAATGTAGTTGTTTCTCGTCTACCACAATGTCATTTGCTATTGCAACAACAGATGCCTATATGAACAGGACGCAACAGCTCTTTGCAATTTTAAGCAGCTGTGAAAAAGGCTTTTTCAAACTTTTAAAATTATCAATCAGCTATGATCAGTTGTGTCACATTTAATCGGACATTAAAACCTGTATAATTTAATAGAACTTTGTTAGTTAATTTCTAAAATTATTAAGCATTATTATTATAATTAATAGTTAAAAATATACTTTCTCATTTAATTTCAAAGTTATAAGTTAATAGGTGTTGTAATACTAAAAAGCTCCATACACCTCTGCTTTTCAACGATTTAACACTGATCAAAGTTTAACAATTCAGCAATTCAACATTTTATGGAATCCCCTAAATTTATTAGGGGGATTCTCTAAACTGTTGAATTGCTGAATTGTTGAATTTTGGTCAGCTGTTAATCAGCTGTTCCATACAAAGTCAACTTTCAGAAATTTCAGCAATTCAACAGCCTCGGGGCTGCTGAAAATTTTGTTGAATTGCTGAAAAGCCAGAGTTGTCGCCTTTTTTTAAAAGTCCTGGCAACTCTGTGACATATTAGTATCACCAGTACGCATTATTTATTTTAAAATCAACTTAGAAAGCATATTTGTGGTTCTTTTTACCTTGGTAGCAATAATAAATCAAATTTTACATGCTTTAAGTTCCGTGAAACTTTTCAACAAATAACAGCTGTTTGAAAATTCAACAGAAACCATTTTGGGTCGTTCCCTTAATTTCTGAAATTTTTTGTTGAATTTTCAACAATTCAGCAATTTAATAGTTTAGGGATTCCCCCAAGTGTATTATAAAGATTCCGTTCATCGTTGTTGACGCAGCACCACTAAAAGCTAAAAATAGTCAAACATTGACAAGAAGCCAGAGCTCCAGCAGTTTGGCTTCAAAAATGCCAGATTTGGCGGGGATAAAGTCGAATGGCCACCTCTGGTACCTCTCGAGTGCAGTGTTGGCAAACGCGTGCAGTTCAGCCATAGTAAACAAAACGAGACGTTCGGTTCGCTGCGCATTTTTAATGCAATAAAAGCGAAAGGCAGGCCGAAATCACGCAACTGCCGTTGCAATACCTTTTGTGGCATTAAATCCGTAGTTCCGCGATATCCATTCAAGCCCGACTCCTTGTTTTCCCAGTGCGTTTCTATCTCGCAGTTGTGGAAAGAAAATTCTGCGTAGCAAACAAACCGGTCGGTGCTCTTGTACATACATTGTATATACACTATACACACAGACAAGTTCAGACGCGTACATGGCCGAGGAAAAAGCGTCGCAGTGCATTTTGTGTGGCAAATTAATTACGCCGAGGGCCTCGAAAAGCGGTGTTTGCCAGCCGAACTCATAATTTTTGGCGTCCATATGCCAACGCTCTGCCCGGCCTCTGCCGAGCCTCTGCCGCGGGGGTGAGGGTGCGTCCATGTAAGCCTGCATCTGCGTGCGTGAGAGTGTGAGTGCGAGTGTAAAGGTGGTGAGGTGAGCTCAAACTTCGCGTATTGTGAATTGCCGTGCAAACACACACACACGCAAGCAAACAAAAAAACCGCCCGCCCACAGAAACAACAACTACAGCTAGTGTTCCACTTTCGACTGTCCTGATTTCCCTGCAGTGCAGCTTCTTTGCGGGCGTGTTCCTCGTCCTGTCCCAATTTCTGCGGAGCAGAATCGTCGATCAAAGGACTTTGAGCTGGGACATTTGCAGCATGCTCGGGAGCTGGAGCTGCGACAGGTATGTATGTGTATTAGCTCCTTCAAGCCAATTCCAATTAGACCCATGTCCTGTCGCCCTTTCGATTGGGAAAACAGTTCTTCTGCGGCCACGGCCCCATTTACTGACTCTCTCGTCCTCTTTCTCTCGCTCTCTCTCTCTCCCTCTCTGCATTTTAGCCCGGTTGGGTTGACTTCTTTGCTGGCCTCTTGGCTTTTCCCCTGCATTTCCACACGCGTCGGCCTTTGCCTTTCTTTCACCTTGCACAGTGGAGCCAATAACGCGATGCTGGCTTAAAATATGAATTCTACTTATAGTCATTTAAGAATTTTAGTAAAATTCATTGTTAAAATCATATTTAAAAGCATTTTTATTAAAAGTCGCTGAAAAAAAATTTAAAAAATTGTATGTCTATTTTAAAATTTTAAAAGCTATTAATATACAAAAGTTACATTTTAAAATAAACCCTTTTTAAGTTTAAAAATTTTACAGATCCTACAAACAAATAAGCCAAGTTTTGAGTATTTCGTATTTTCAAGGGTGTTACAGAAATCTCTTCCAACCAAATTTCCCCTGAAAGTAAATCTCTCAAATGGCAAAAAAACAAGTACACGAACCAACCGTCTCCAAATTCGTCGCCCGTTTCTGTAACCCCTCTGATTAAAGAAAGTTTAACTATATCATATTCGTGTATAAGTTAGAACCCTATTTTTATATACATATGTACAATTTTTATAAAGATATTTTGCTTATGCAGAAAGTTTTAATTAATTATTCATTATTCGACTGAATATAGCCCACTGTGCGACGGCTTTAGCGTTTCTCGTCTGTCATTGCTATCTCTGCTTTTTCTTCTTCTACCTTCGTTTTGTATACAAATTATGGTGTTGTTGTTATTGCTTGTGCAGTTGTTGTTGTTTTAAGCTTTTATGGGCAGTGCATTCCACTTGTTTGTTGTTAATGTTGTTGCTGCCGCTGTTTCGCTGGCCATGTTCGCTGTGAATCGTTATAAATATAGACTTTAATTTGCCTTCGGCTGAGTTCAGTTGTTGTTGGTGATTATTTGAAAATTGATTTTGTTTGCTCTGCAGTTAATAATTTAACCCCCCACATTTCCTCCCCGTTTCAACCCACTGAGAATGGAGCGTGCAATATGGCAAGAAAAGTGAAAATGTGGCCCTTCCCTTTTTGTTTGTGGGCGGTGGATGGTGTTGCTGTGCGTCTTGGTAATTCAATTAACGTGTTCAGACCACCCGTTCTGACACCCTCCCCTCTCCCCATTTCTTACCACCCACCCCAAGCCCCAGCTAAACAATTTGTTGACCCATATTCGGGCATTTTTGTTTTGCTGTTAATTAATATTTGTAATTCTCGTGTTTCGTTTTGAATTCGAGGCTGTTTTTCGTTGGCCCGTGATAAGCCACGATTGCTCTGAATTCCCAACAAATTAACAGTTTAGTCGCTTTTCAGTTTTCAGTAGCTCGTTATCTGGTGGCCTCCACAGCTTCTTTTGCTGCACACTGGTTGAAATGTATTAAAAATCAATATGAAAATGGTCGAACTGATGCGATCTTTGAACTAGAAGCACCGAATCAAATAACGTTAATGGGTTGTTCAGATAATTGTAACTTAGTAAGGATCCTACTGAGTTCAGTAAATTCTTTCTAAGCATTTGGGGAGTTAATGAGTCTAGTACTCCGACTTTCAGATACCCGTTACTCAGCTTAAGGCAGTGCGAGGAAGATGGAGATATGCATGCAGCAAAAAACTGCTTGCACTGCTTGAATTCCATTATTAGCTCATCACTTTCAAATGAATGGTCCGATTTGAAAAATTTCTTCTACATTTCTATAGGTATTTTTAAGCACAACAAAATTGCATTAATTTTGTTCTATAATCTTTAAAGGTCTGGGCACCAGATACTTTCAAAATCGTTTGAAGCTATTGTGGGCGAGGGGGTCGTCTTATGAAAGAAAACTGCGCTGCGTAAGAACACCAAGAATCTGCATGGTTGATCCCAACTTTTATAGTTTCGTTTTATAGTATCCGTGATCTCAGCGTTCATACGGACGGACAGACAGACAAACGGACAAACCGGCGGAAACACGTCCTTCTACAGTGGCGGACAAAAGTCTACGGACGACCCCCTTTTTGGGAGTTCACCCACTCCTATTGCTTTTACGGGAAAAGTAATGATGCAGTTTTGTTCTTAATGTTATTAATATACAGAAACCAAAATTTTATTCTTATTCATAAAAAACTTTAAAAGTTACGGACGAAAAACTTAAAAAATGGCATTGACAAAAGTCTACGGACGATTTTTTACATAGAACTTTCAAAATTTTCGATCCAAAATTACCCAAACCTGCTCTATAATTTGTATGCCCAGGCCTTATGGTGGTAAAAACAATTGCCGAAAAGCATAAAACAGCAGCCAATTCTTCAGGATATGCGCCGTATGCTTGGGATCATTATCCTGTTGGTGGATCGAGATAGTTCCGAGGCATTATTTGTCCACAGATGCCTTCAAATTATGTTCAAATATGGTCTTATACTGAGAACGAACCATAATACCCTCGAAGATGACCAAATTTCCTACTCCCGAGGCTTCCGTAGACTTTTGTCCGCCACTGTTCCTGTTACGTACTTTTGCAAATATACGAATACAATATAAATTTTTACTTCACGAGTAACAGGTATAATATTGTTGTTCGCCCACCTTCAGTTTGTTGATCCATTTGAGTAAAAAATGTTTAATAAGAACTCTTGTTCTGCGATTATAATGAGAATGCGAATATACGCGCTACGTGTTTCCAAATGATAAACTTTATTATTTCTTTATCTTTTACGACTTGGCTAATACTTAAACCTTCCATTACAGAAGCTCTTCGCTCGACTTCCCGATGCACCCCGGACATTGATCGCTGGCTTAGATGCGTTAGCCTAGGACAGCACAGCGCCCAGATGTCGTCGAGCAACGGTGGCCTTAGCAGTGCCACCAATGGCCGCAGCGGCAGCACCGGCAGCGCCAACATCAACCTAAATCTCAAGGGGCAGGAGAGGTCTGTGGGAGCGACACTTGGGGCTGGTGGTGCATCAGGTGCCACTGCCACGTCAATTACACACAAAACACTGCCGGACCTGAAGACGCAGAGGAGCAATAGCGCCTGCCACGCCCACGAGTCGCTAACCGCCCTACGTCGCATCGCGCTGCCGGAAAAGCCGCCCGAGAAGACGCTCAGCTATGGCGCGGCCCAAACCCGGATTATGGGCAAAGAGGCTAAGGAGGAACACCTGGTCTACTGCGAGGGCCGCCTACACTCGGGTCCGCTGCAATCGCTCATCACCCACATGGTCCCCACCCACGAATACTATCCGGATGACGGCTTCGTTTTCGCTTTTCTCCTCAGCGCCAGACTTTTTGTGCGCCCCCACGAGCTGTTGGCGCAGATTTCGCAGACTTGGGAACAGCAGCAGCAGCAAAAGGATGTGGGCGCCGGCGGAGATGTGGTGGATGACGCCGGACAGGCGCCTGGCCGAACCATGCTGCTGAGCATCAACTCCGCCTCGCCGCTGACCCAAAGGAAGGGTTCCACGGCAGCACAGACCACTGAACTGGAGCCGCGTCCCCAGCAGCGGACAAGCACTCAGCGCTCGGCACAGCATTGCATCAGACTGCTGTCGGAATGGATCGAGATCTTTCCGTACGACTTTAGAGATGAGCGGCTGATGCAGCAGGTGCGCATTCTGGCGAGGAAGTGCGTCTACATCGACAATTCGCTGGGCAAGCAAGTGTCGCGCATTCTGCAGCTGCTCGTCTCCCGTCTGACGTCGCTGGAGCAGTACGAGGAATTCCTGCAGACACTCAGCTCCGAGGAGGCGCAACAGCAGCTGCCCCAACACCACGGCCACCACCATCACCACTTGCACAATGCCTTCCAGACCTTTCTGGGCACCTCCTCCTCCTCCTCACATGCCAACGGAGCCAGTGGCGGCGGGTCGGCCAGCGGCACCTCCAATTCCTCCTCCAGCGGTCACACATCCTCTGCCTCCGCATCCAACTCGATCTCCACAACTCCCCAGCCGGACGAAGTGTTTGGCATTATGGACATGTGCCCTAGCTGTGCCCACTTGGCCCACCAGCTGACGGCCATCGAACTGGAACGCTTGTCCCACATTGGGCCGGAGGAGTTTGTGCAGGCCTTTGCAAAGGATTATCAGCAGCAGGCCAAGGATGGGAGCAAGGAGGGCGGTGGTTCGTTGAACGACATGAAGAAAACGCGCAACCTGGAGTCGTATGTGCAGTGGTTCAATCGACTCAGCTACTTGACGGCCAGCGAGATTGTCAAGGTGGGTAAACAGAATGAAATCTATCTGAGAAAGAGCAGGATATTAAAACTTTTCTTCAATGTTTCCCTCCAGTATCCTAAAAAAAAGCAGCGTGTGCGCATCATCGAGTATTGGATTGAGACGGCTCGGGAGTGCTTCAATATTGGCAACTTTAATAGTCTGATGGCCATAATAGCTGGTCTAAATCTGGCGCCCATAGGCAGACTCAAAAAGACGGTAAGATGTGCGGTGTGTTTTATATATCGCCTCTCTCATACTTCGATTTAATTTCTATATATTTAGTGGGCTAAAGTGCAATCGGCCAAGTTCTCCGTGCTGGAACATCAAATGGATCCAACATCGAACTTCAACAGCTATCGCTCTACGCTCAAAGCTGCAATGTGGCGCTCAGAGGGCGCTACCGAGGAACGCGAACGCATAATCATTCCATTCTTTAGTTTATTTGTTAAGGACTTGTACTTTCTGAACGAGGGATGTTCCAATCGGTGAGTAGGTTTCCTAGTGCCACCCGAAATGCGACTTATCGAGAGTATTTTCTTCAACAGGCTGCCGAACAATCATATCAATTTCGAAAAGTGCTCCCAGCTGGCCAAACAAGTAATGGAGTTTAACGAGTGGAAGAAAGTAAACTGTCCCTTCGAGAAGCTGCCAAACGTTATAGCCTATCTTCAGCACAGCGCCGTGCTCAATGAGAATACACTTTCCATGGCGTCTTTCGAGTGTGAGCCGCCGGAGAACACGGAGGAGAAGGACCGCTACAAGACCGTTAAGGCGGAAACGAAGCAACAACTGTTACAACAGCTGCAGGAGCAGCAACCATAGTCGCAGTAACCACTATGTAGAGAGTAGACTAAGCTACGCTTAAGCGCTTGCCATGATTATTTTTTCTACTAGAGCCGTAAGACCGGGGATATTTTAGCCTAAGTTGATGCGAACGATGAGTACAGAGGGTGACCAAGCCTCAAGCCCTGATTAGCCCCTTTAAAACAAAAAACAAAAAAGCTTTTGAAGCTAAAGTCTCCATGTAGTATCTTGTCAATCATTTGTATATTCACTTGTACTCCTCCTCTTTTGTGTTCCTCTCCCGCAAAATTTAATGACGGGCGGCGGCTGGTCTTTTACAGAGAAAACTCCGAAACGTTGCCAGTAACTTTATTTATTTAATTAGACGATTATGAGGATGGAAACAACGAACCAATGTACTTAAAGCCATATATGGCTAACAGCTAAGGCAACTAATTTAGTTATTAGCGTGGAATGTTTGGTATAACATGAATCATTTATGATATCATAATTATGATCAAAACCATCTGACAAAGCTGCATGAGTACGCGATATTCGTACGTGACCAGTATTTATATTTATGTATACAATTTTATAGCTAAATGAAATCTTTTTGATATTTCGTAAAGATTACATCCGGGTAAAATCCGACGGATTACACGATGATTCTGTCTCGAGGCTTTTCTGCATCAGCAGCCATCTATCGGCAAATTATCAGTCGCTGAGCATTAACACTTTTGTATAATTAAGGAAAACAACAGAACAAGAAGTAAGAAAAGCAACAAAGAAAAGGACACTTTGTGGTAAAAAGATGCTTTTTCTCATTAAGAATTAGATTTTTAACAATGCAATCGCAAGATTAAATAATATTGTGGATGAAATCATAAATGATATTAACTATAAAGGGACTAAACACACCATTATTGATTAAAGCAGCTTTCGAATAAAGGATATGAACAAAACCAGTTCTCATAACAAAATATTGTACAAATTTTATACTTTAATCCATAGTAAAATTAGTTGGAGCAAGGATTACGATCGAAAACTTTTCAGACCTTTCAGAAATTTGATTTTAGACGGAAAGTTAGAAAATCGGTGAAGTAAGTGTATCGATCTAAAAAAACTACATTAAATAAATTAAAAGAAACTTTTTCTTCAATCTTTCAACCCACCTAGTAAGGCTAGAGAGTTGGGATTTTTAAAGATTTTATTTTGTTTATCTAAGTGAAAAAATTATACGAATCAATCAGAGTAAATTAGGACCTGATGGGGCGAGAATACAACATTATTAATCGGATAGGGTGTTGGGAAATTATCGATTATATTCACTTGTATCGCGAAAAATAGCTAGATTTTTAAAATTGATTTTGTATATAAAAAATTCCTTTTTTTAAATTTACTCTTTAAATTTATTTTTTTTTTTAATGAAAATAATTTTGGCAACACTTTCAGAAAGTTCCTCATTAATTAAAAATTAATATTTAAAAAAAAAATACATTTAGATTTACGCGTGCGAATATTTTTTTAAATGTAGCATTAATTTTTCTTTTTTTCCTGTAGCAACTAAACAAAACGACAAGCTATAATTTAATATAATTTTTTTCGGATTTTTCCCATGGGAGCTGTAAAATATAGAACACCGATCAGCTGCTGTTGCAACATTTTTTGCCCCTATGAACAGTGTTTAGCTACTTTTTCGCTAAAGCATCTTTATAAAAACGCTATAGCCAATAAGTCCGAAGTTTTCTATGGTCCCAGCTGTTTTGATTTGAAAGGAGATAAAATAAGACTAATAGAATCTATTAAAACCAAGGCTCATTTAATAAAAAATAAAAATAATCTGTACGCGAAAACCTATGGAAGTGGACGATGATCAAGTGGCCAGCGGGGAGGACACAAGTCCGCGGCAAGAGGATAATCTTGAAAACGTGATACAGGCCTAGTAAGTGTAAAGTCGGTGGTTTGTTAAGCTCAGGATAACTGACTTACTAATATCGTCAGTGATGATCTCAACTTACTTGCGCCGGGGGAGATGTCGGCGCCGCCACTACCTCATCCGCATCTTTCGGAGGAGACCTTTCGGGAGGAGATCGTGTATACGATAATAACTGAGGTAGCAATACGTCTGTGTAAAGAGCATATTTATTACAAAACGTATTCTAATTCTGGTCCCTTTTACGAGAAAAATCTCTTTACTTGAATAACACCTAACGCTTTAAAATGTGTATCCTTTCCTTTGAACTATTTAAAGAACCTTTTTTTGGTGATCTTATGATTTGACGGTTATAAAATTAAGAATAAGAATTGTGGTACCTTGCCTTTCAGGAAGAAGAAGACTCAGGTGATGAGGAGGTAAGCATAATGCCCTTTAAAAAAAAACTTACCTGCAATGCAATTGTCTTCTATTGTTTTTAGATTTTTATTACCGAGGAGCATAAGCATTTTCTGGCTAATAACAGGGCGAAATCAATGTACACTTGGAGCTTAGCAAAGGAGCTGATGCATAGGGAGCACAACATAATCAATCGGATTGGGTGGCGTGGTGGCCACACCTCCGACCAAAGTTTTAGCCAAGGATTCTACGGCTCCCGCCATACAGTGGAGCAGATGAGCCTACTAACAACGCTAAAGTGTCCCATTCCCGACAGCATGGACTTCAACAGTGCCGGTAACTTGTTATGCACCGGCAGTGATCACACTATCATCATCTGGGACTGGGCTAAGAATAAGAAGCTGCACCAATTTTGCTACAAAAAGAAAATCACACAGAACAAATTTATCAATAGCACCGGCTGTATGGATTTCGTGTACTCCAATTGTTTTGGTGAAGTCTTCCTGACCTCCATTCCGCCCTCTGGAGGAGCCACAAAGGCCAAGCGCCTCTACACACACAAAGGTAGCGTGGATGACCTTTTAATAGTACCCCAAAGCCGTCACGAACTAATGAGCGCTGGCGATGATGGAATTGTCAAGCTTTTTGATCTCCGGACCAACGAAGGAGCCACCACAATGGTGCACTGGGTCGATAAATACCTCTACACCATAGCCCATCATCCGTTTTCACCAGAGTTCTGTGTTGGTGGAGATGGCGATGAGCTGTGCGTTTATGACAAGCGGTATTTGACAAAGCCTGTCCACAAAATTAGCACGGGAAATAAGAATCCAAATGGCAGGACTGGAGTCATTTCGTCCGTGTACAATCACAGCGGCAGCGAGATTCTAGCTGTTTTTCACAATGAAGGCACTTTTTCGTTCGACACACGCAACTACACAGAAGGCGAATATTTGCATTTCTACAAGAATGCTGGGTTAGTCGCCTTATAGCACAAAATATCTCCCCCATCACTAACCTTCTATCTTTTAGTTACCGCTCGAATTTCTACGGGCCTCGATCGGAGTACATTGTCACCTGCTCCGACGATTGTACGTATTTTCTGGACAAGAATACGGGTGTCACCATCAGCTTCATGGTGCTCTACAACTCATCGCTAAACGGTAACCTAAAATCACACCCCTGGATGCCGTTGCTAGCCACACATAACTACCGCGGACCAGGCGTCCGCCTATGGATTCCAAGTGGCCTTCTATTCACGGACGACTGGTATTAGTGGCAATTTATTTTATACTAAACTATATTTTTGTACCCTTGCAGAGGGTATTATAATTTCAGTCAAAAGTTTGCAACGCAGTGAAGTAGACGATTCCGATCAGCACCAATAGCCGACTCGGCCGACTCGAAATTATCGATATCAGTATCGATATTATCGATACTTCTGATATTTTTCAAACATCGATATTTATCTATAATATCGATGTTTTCTGACGTTTTATTAGAGAGAAACGAACAGATTTCACTCTTTAATTCTGAGGACCAAAATAACTTTTAATACAAAATCTCTTAAAGTAGGGACAAATTACCATGCAAGAACCGCAAGTTCTTGGTATTTTATTCTTCTTTGGTACCATAGATATTATGAAATACTTAAAAGTAGGCGAAAAGGGCATAGGTTATGGCAAAAAATGGAAAATAAAAGAACCGCGAGTTCTTGGCAAGAGGAGGAACTTTGGTTTTTTTAGTACCAAAAACAAAGTCTTGGTTGCAGCTACCGACCTTCTGTCCGCTATTAAAAAATCTCAAGAAACCGCGAATTCATAGCCTTTGATAAGAATTGGTCGCTTTTCGAAGATCGTTTGAGCGATTTGGACTCAAGGATCCAAAAAAAAACAACCGCGAATTCTTCAGAAGAGGAGGAATTTTTACTTCTTTATGGTATAGTATCAATTAAAGTAGGGGAAAATAACCATAGGTTGTGGTATAAAATCGAAAATGAAAGAACCGCGATTTCTTGGGGAAAGGAGGAACTCTCGTTCTTTTAATACCAACAACAAACAAAACGAAGACCGTTTGAGCAATTTTGGCAAAGGATCAAAAAAAAAGCAACCGGGAATTCTTCAGAAGAGGAGGAATTTGTTCTTCTTTAGTACCAAAAAATGGTATGGAACAAAGGTTTGTTCTATTATTTTACATAAGTATTTCCTCATAATATATTTTAAAAAAAATTCTTAAGAAGCCGTGAATGTCTTTGACTAAGAATTGGTGTCTTTCTAGACATGTGACGCAACTCAACTCAATGATCAAACATAAATAAACCACGAGTTCTTAAGAGGACGATCCTTTAGTCTGAAAGTGCATTTTAATAATGAAAACCGGAAATTAAAATTAAATAAATTACCCGCGATTTTTTCTAATAATAACATTAATAATAATGTAAGTGTATTATGCATGTATATAATAATAATACGTGGTATTAACAGAATTATAAAATTATTTTTAATTTGTCTTTGCTTTCCTTGAAAACATCGATATTATCGATACGATAATGATAAAGTATCGAAAATATCGATACTATCATTTATCGATAATTTTCAAGCTCTATAGCCGAGTCCATCTAGTCATGTCCGTTTGTCGAACTATGCGAACTAGTCTCTCAGTTTTAAAGCTATCGCGATGAAACTTTCCCAAAAGTCTTCTTTCTATTGCAGGTAGTACATATGTCGGAACGAGCCGGATCGGACCACTATATCTTATGGCTGCCATAGGAATAATTAACAAAATAATAGAAAAAACTTTATAGAAAGTAGGCTTTTTGATTTTTGACAATGTAAAAACAACATTTTAGGTAGGCATACCTACAAGGGTATATAAACTTCGGTTGGCCGAAGTTAACTTCCTTTTTTGTTTTGTAACATTTATTTAACATGAAATCTTTAGATTGATGGATGTCATTAAATCGTATTTGCTTTTAACCGACATTTTGTACTGTGTTTGTAAAAAGGTTCCGCGACGCAACGACATGAAGGAAAAGGACCTCAATTTGTCAGCTACAAGCAAACAGATTATAAGTTTGTTATGCAGTCAAAGCATTTGAAAAGTGGCCCTCTTTATCTGTCGAATCCCATACTCGAAATAATTTTTCGATCTTTCTTAAAGGAAATATGAGCTAAAAAAAACAGTCAAACGCATATCTACCTCCGTCAAAATAATAGTAGTGTTCCCGCCATTTGTTCAAAAATTTAAAACTTTTATTTGTATTTCGTAATAAATCTTTTATTTTTTTAAAAAAAGAGCACAAAATTACCGTTTTTTTCAAAAAATGGTTCCCAATTTTGCAATTTTTTTAAAGTAATCGGAACTTTGAACGTTATACGGAAGCTTATTCGAATTTGCAAGCGGGTTTTGCCATCTACATGAAGGGTAACGATATGCAGTAGCATGTAGAAATATTTTTCAGTAGAATCCGTTTTTGACAGTAAACTATTCTTATCGGGCAGTGACTGAACTGAGTGGTATTTTTAAGGATACCAATTTAGTACGTTTTTAAAGCATGGTATGGTTCTTCGACCCAGCCTTGGCCACACTGAAAGCAGCCTGCAACACGTTCGGACGCGAACAGACGTGCACTCCGATTCGAATTTCGAAAGCCTTGCGATGTGCTACCCTCCGGGCCGTTGTTGACGCGGTAAATCGAGGCGGAAAAATCGATTGTGCTCGTGTGATTATTTTTGTTTTGGTTTGCGGCCTCTCGCCCCCGTAATCCCCGCGCGGCCTCGGCCACATGACTCATGCCAGGCAGCAACAATGAAAAACCACAATAAGTACGTCAAGTTGCCCCAAGACCTCGATCTGAGTTTCCACAGCGATTTGGACCTGCTGCCGGACACGGCGGCCGACATCGACGTTGAACTAGACGCGGCTGCGGACGCGGATGTGGCCGCGCTCGGTGTGAACGTGCCCGCGTCTCTGGGCCTGGACGACGACTACGACGACGAGCTAATCGCCGCCTCTGGCGGAGGAGGCCTTCGACTAGCCCCCACGGCGGAGGAGGCAGTGGCGGCCCTCAGGCAGCCCCAACAGCGCAGGCAGCGGAAGAATCCGAATCAGCAGAATCAGCTGGAGCAGCAGCAAATCCTGGCCAAAGGCAAGATCTGTGGCCTGGGCAGCGACAGCGTCATCGAGGTGAGGGCTATTTTGTCTTTAAAAGGGAAAATGGTTAAATTAATTAGGTAATTTCTGTATTTCGGCGCCTGCAACTTGTGGCTGATGGGCATTCCTGGGCCCAAACGGTTCAGCGCAGTCCGAAGCACAACAAAGCAAAACAAAGAGCGGAAAAATCGATAGGCGACAAAGAAATATTCTACCCCCGAGTGCCGCTTACACGGGTTTTCCCCGTCGAATCCCTGTTGACTTTTAATCGCCGCGCGGGGGTTTGGGGGCAGGTAAAAAGAGGCTTTGCAGGTTGGGGGGGAGGATTTGTTCAGCGGAAGTGGTCTCCAATGCTAATGCGGTCCAATATTAATGGAATTCGTGTTGACACAGTCGTGCCCGCTTTTAGCAGATAAGCTAAAGTGTTCGAGCGGGTTTTGTCATCAATTTTCCGCACTCTAGATTACTTGCCAAGTAGGACGATGTCCTAGAAAGCCTCGTTGGGGCGCTGGAAAATCAATTGGAAAATCTATAATTCCGCCTCCGCAACTAGTTAATAATTCAACTTGCCTTGGGGCTGACTGTTGTGGTACACATGCTCTTTGCAATCAATAATGCGTCAGACCCGTGTCAATCATAGCCCTGTCGACGATAAAGAAAATAGTTAATTGTGTCACGATGTATTACGACCTGGTACATTTTCCTCAATCGCCTGTCAGTTGGGTGAGCGACCACAAAAGTGGGGATTCATACAGAAGTAAAATGTGGGATTTTCTAAATCAAATTAACCTTAATCAAATTACTACGTCTGTTTTAAGTAAAAGTCTTTTTAATGTAAAAAAATTGAAAAAAATTTAAAAAGTAAGTTTTAAGCTCTAATTGTCCATGTAGTCTCTATGTATTAATTGTAGGCCGAGAAAAAATTCTGAACTAAGCAAAAGACTTAAATAACTACATGAAGCTGTCATTTCTGGGGCGTTTCGTCCTCCATTCACGTTTTGCAACCAATTAAAGCATATTCTTGCTCTTACGCCTCATGCACCTCATTATGTAGGTGCTCAGGTCACTGCAATGTAACCTAGATTTATTCACTTGCAGTCGCTTTTTCAACAGTTCCCTTTTGAGGCCAAGTCCTAAGCCTCGTGTTACTTTTCAGTTGTGCTCGAGTTCAGTAAACACACCCCTGCACGAGAACTTAAAAGGAAATCGAGTGCTACTTATGGATTGCGATTTTAAACGAGTATGGTAGGGTAACCTATTTTCCAAATAGTTCTCTTTCTAGGATTGCAGAACCCACAACGTTCTATCTTCAACTACTTTATAATCTAACTCAAAAGAATTCAATACTGGAAATATAATTAATTACCCGAATTTAAATTTAAAAATAAATATAAAAATGTAATTTTAAATAGAAGGAGTTTCAGGTCCTTTGTACAGCATAGGCGTTTCCTTGGACCTCCCAGGATCATGGAAGCACCACTCTGTTACATGTCTTCTTTGTGCCATTGCCTTTGTGACATGCAAATTTATGCATAAAGTGCTGTGGTACAAATGAATTTATAGCACGGCCAAGGAAATTTATCATCCTGCCCGGTTACAAAGCCAGGGGTTTCAAACCCAATTCCGCTTCCCCCAAAGTTCCAGCACAAATGGAAGCTGGCAAAATGACGGGCAGCATTTAAGAGCATTTATTATAATCATAAAACACAAACTGCATTATTATGCATTGTCGTTGCTCGGGGCGTGCCATGTTGGAAGGATACGGATGGGGTGAGGACGGAAGCCAGGAACTAAGCGAAGCACCAGAGTCCTTAGCTGAATAATTTTGTGCATTTTCATGTGCAAAGTTTCGAGCCACAACTCAACAATATTCCAACTATCGACGGATCGAAGCTGCATTATTAACTACATAACCCACTGTAGCAGAGTGTTTCGACAACTGGAAGCCTTTATTGTGAAATATTCGCATGATTTTGAATCAATTTTGAATTGAAATTGATCTATATGTAGGTGAAAATGTTTAATAAGTTGCATTTGAAATTGTTGATATACTTGGTATACAAATAACATTTAAATTCCAAAAAATTTAGGTATTTCAACCAGGTAAATTTCTATGCAATATATGGTTTACAAAAGTATGCTACACAGAATTTGTACTGAAAACCTCCCAAAACCCCCCTCAACTAAATTCTGGCTACGCCACTAACTTCGAGCGTTTCCTATTTTAATAAAGCGAAATATTTTGTGATGCTTGGGGCATCGTAAGAGTCGGCATGCCCTTATCTCATTTCTCTATGGGCAAAGGGGTTTTGAAAAGTTGAAACTCGTTTTTAGCTGCATTCCGGATTTGCTTGGGCAAATATAATTTGCACTTTTAATTGCCGCACAGAGAGAGGGTGAATGAGAAAAACTCGTTTGCATCCTGCTGGCTTCGCCTCAAAGTTTCCCTTAAAATATTATGTCCGTGTGTTGCACTTGTTGCCGGCAGTGCTGGCGTTAAAATGCGAATTTTACTCGAAGCTTACTAATGCGGCCTCTATCTAAAAATCGTCCCTTGGCTAACAGAGAAATGCTTTTAGGGGACAATCCCGCTTGGTTTGTTCGGTCTGCGTTTTATTTCCAATTAAAGCATACTTATTATGACCGGCGCCCTAGGCATCAGAATTGATATGGGCACTTCCAAAATGTCGCTCGGGACATTTGCACACCTTTAAAGTTGAAAAAAAATTGTAAAACAATGGATTTTAATTTTAATTATGGGCTTTTCTTTTCACTCTATCCAAGCTCTATTTTTGGTAAAAATCTTGATTTTGTACCACTTTTAGTTTTTAAGATATCGGTAAAAAACTGTCGTATTCGCTCGGGACAAAAATAGAAGTGGATTTCGGGGAAGTTCATACAACACCAGAAATTAGCGAATTCTGATGGAATACTTGAATGCGATTTTTTTTAGAATGTTGTTCAAACATGTCGCTGTGAAATGCTTTTGGTTTTACTCAAAAATTGTTTTCCGTTGTTTTTTTATGCAGTTTCAACCACATTCGCTCGGGACATGTCGCTCGGGACATTTTTTCCGACTGTTTTGTAAAGCAGATTTCTTTACCTCTATCTCTCAATTGCTGGATGTTTTGCTTTTAACTTAATAGTTTAGCATGTGAATGAAGCATTCAGTACAGAAAAATGTCACAAATTAGTATTCCTATAGGATAAATTAATAACAGAAGACAGGTCCAAAAAATAACAAAAAAATAGCCAAAAACTGATTTTTGCGTATATTGGTGGGGTTTGTCATAAAAATAATCAAACTATACTCCAAATTTGTAGTTAAGCCCAGTATCCAACTAATTAGAAACTAATATCGGGGCAAAATCATGTGGAAATATGTTTTATTCAAGTTTCAAGGTTTTCGGCTTGGTGGACTTTTTTTTGGAAGTGCCCATATGCTTATCAGTGTGTGCAAATACATATTAATTGATGTTTGATAAATGCATTTACCGTCACTGCATCATACTCGGTGCACAGAAAAAAGTTCGATAATATTTTTGTCAAATGTATAATTTAAACATATCAACTTGAAATTTTATCATTTTATTAATTTCATAAAAATTAAAAAATATTATTTTAAAATAACAAATGAATCACTATGGACGGCAGTCCATGTAGTGACGAAGCGCACCAGGAGAGTGTGCGAAGGCGACTACTATATATACACGAAGAAATGAAAATCTACTGTGATGGTCCGATCATAATGAATAATACACCTATCGAAAGGTATTGCGAAAACTAACAGGATTGCATACCAAGACTTTAAGAAAGTCAATTGGCTTGGGAGAGAGAGCGGTGAAAGTGAAAAAGTGAAAATTTCGAAATTTGGAGCTGTTGGGGCCGGTGGGGATAAAGGCCCCCTCTCAATATTTTAGTTGTATTCCTTTTGAAAATACCCGTCGAATGAGGGGTCATTTGTCAAAATCCGACTCTCCGTTCAAAAGTTATAGCCAAAATAAGATTTTCTTCTTCTTCCCAAAATGAAAATTTAATTCTGTTTGTCAGTTTGTCCACTTGTCCACTTGTCCACTTGTCCACTTGTCCAAAATATGTTTTTTAAGTTCTGAAAATTTGATATGACGTTCATCACATCGATATTAAAAACTTTTGTTCTACTACTTTTGGAAAAACCCGCTAGTTTAGCGGGAAAACAGCTATAAATAGCTAAAATTCGGAAAGCCGTAACTTTACTACTAAAGCTACAGACTTGTGCTGCATCTCGTTTGAAAGGTATTTTTAAATGCTATAAACGCCTTCTATATGCAATTTGTGTAAATGTAATAGTTAAAAAGATATGAACAAAAGAAAATTTGTTAAAACTTTTTTTTTAGCTTTTTTTTAATTTTCTCAAAAACGGCTCTAACGATTTTCCTTACAACTTCAAACTGTATAGCCCTTGAGATTCCTTAAATTTTGGTATATATCATGTTTATGTAAAAAATCGCGTTTAAAAGTTATTCAGAAACGAAAATAGCCACTTTTGCCAGCTCAGAACAACTAACGCTCCCTGAGTATTGAATTTTGTGGGAGGGTATCCGAACTGTATTTTAGGGTCATGGAATCAGTAAATTTGCACTTAAGAGTTCCATATAGGAATCTTTTGTTCTACGACTTTTGGAAAAAGCCGCTACTTTAGCGGGAAAAAGCTAAAAATAGCTAAATTTAGTTTGTAAGTTCTACACTACTACTACTACTACTACTACTACTACTTTTCTCATTCGGCACGCTGCAATAGTAAATGCCTGTAAAGGGAAAAGGAATAGTTTGCTAGGGCGGGCCGAATGAGAAAAGATTAGAAAGTCTATTTAATGACGAGTGTAATAATTTTTCGTCACAAATGTTGATATCAGAACTTTTGTATGTTGAAGGTGCGGTCGTCACTAGTTTTTTACCTCGTTAAGAGGTGTTTTTATTTGATTGTGTAATATAAGATAAACATAATCTTTATTCATATCAAAATTATGTAAATAACTTGATCTTTAAAAATA